AAAATACTGCAAATAAGTTGCGTGTTTTTCTTGTGGGTCTGTATATCGTGCTGCCTTGCATTTCACTATTCATGAGAAATTGGTCAAAACTGCTTTAGTAGCTCTTAAGAGAACCTCCATGGTGAGTGTAGGATAACTGAGACAGGCTTAATCGTTTCTATACACACACACATATATATATATATATATATATATATATACTTAAAGTAGTATACGTGACCATCACGGGACCAGCCAGCTGGACTGGAAACTTATCAGAACTTCGCTAGTTCTGCTCCTCTCTCGTGACTTAGCGAATAGGTAGGCTAACACGCTTGCTATTCCGGGGCTAGAGTGATTTGAGGATCCAACGCTCCACACTAAACTATATATATTAGTTTCACTGATTCCAAGGCAACACACTCAAAGGCTAAAACTATAAGCAAGTTAGGTTCTTAAAAGTCATATTGTAACTAATAATCCTAGATTGATAAAGTCGGTGGCGTGTGGCTACCACAGAATAGAGATTTCGGGGAAATCTAGATGGCCTAAAGGCTGCTGTACATTTCTTTTCGGTACTGTACGTTCGTGAGCGCTTCACAACCTGTCACAGGCTACCATAAAGTCTTAACTTAAACCTTATGATATCATGTCTATTTCTAACGAACGATATCACCCTGAAAAGAATACTTAAAAGTTTCAAAGTGAACTTCGAAATATGAAATGGGTGACGCAAATCAACACATAATAAATATTCAGATCTAGCTTATTTCATTTATTTCAGCGCCAGCTCCTAACCAACCCATGAGACTGTCTCTTTAACAAACAGAGATTTCGAGGCTGTATACTAAGCAAAACGCTCGTATGCATTTATGTGGCATCATGAGCTTTAAATCAAAGACAATAGGCCTTTTTACCCCACAACTTAGCGCTTCAAATCACCGTAAAAATGAAGACTTTGATATTTTTATCTAATAACAGCAAATAATCTGGGAGATAACTAATTTCTTTAACATATATTTTTATTGTTTTCAATCAGCGTTAAAGTAAATACGATTTGGCCAAAAATTCGTTTTAAAATGTACATGGCAAATGGAATATAGCGAGAAAAAAAATAGTGAAAGACCCAGTGAAAACACTGTACAGTCGTTAATTATATTCGTTCACTATCTTTAATTTCTTGTCAATTTTTTTTATGAATTGTCAACTCCAATGAAAATTTTTAATGATCTACGCGAACGGGACCTTTCCTGCGTTTAGATTTCTTCTATCATATATTCTCTTGCTTCGTATCATTACTTAGAGTATCTCAGACTGAGATCCATAGTTTATATGCAAATGCCTCATTTAGCCTTTTTGTAACAGGACAGTATCGTTTGAAGAGAAAGACAGGTGCCATAAATACTACTTAATACTAATTGAATGAATAAATATAAAAGCATTACCAATGATTAGCTATCTATGCTCTGTTGTGGAGGCATTTTTTGCCGTAATACGTCTAATCTGTTCACAACGTCTTGTGATATTCAATGACATCGACGTACCATAGGAAAAGAATGCTTCGTGCAGCCCACCATTCACTCATTATTGTAAAAAAGTATTTTTTTTATGAGATATCTGAATGTGGACTATACGAGTATGTCTATTAACATATTGAAAATACTAGGCCTCATGTATAATGCATGGATAAAAAAGAAATCTACCATGCTAAAACGTGGCTCGTTCCGCAGATCAAAAGACTTTATGGGAACCGATTACAAATAATGTTGAAGCTATGTTTCCGGGACGTCACCAAAGCCCAAGGATTTTTTTTTCATAATGGGTAGTTATATCCTTCTTAAGAAGAATATATTTTTCTGTTCAGGACGATATGTACATATATATTCGATTTGACTGACACGTTTTGTTTAGTGTATTGATTCCAAGGGGTAGGATAAGGAGTATTATCGATCCTTCCCTCTTCTCAAGTAGCATAAAAAAAAAACCAAATTTTTTTATATTATGGCCTATTGACTTGGTCTTTGGGACGTTACTAGAAGTTATTTTTCTATTATTAAATACACATCTCTTTTTGACATTTAAAACCTTCGGGAATTAATTAAGGCTAATTTATTTCACGAAACGTTTGTCGCCAAAACGTTCCAATTTACATTTAGACATCGTATTAATATTAGGTTCGCTTAAATAAAATTGCATTTTTATCTCACTATTACATAAGAAAATCGATTCGACCAATAGAATTTTTACAGTTTTTTTTTTTACAAAAACATTAATTTTAGATATACGTTTACGTATTGCAATATCGTTCACTTCGTTAAAACCTACCAATTGATACTAAGACGAACCGCTTTACATGAAACACTATGTTAAGCTTTCAGTTTTCTTAAACTGACCTCAAAATAACATTTGAAAATGACTATTTAGGTGTATACACGCGCGTTGCATTTCGGTAGAAAGTTTAAAAACACTTCCATTGCATAGGTTTTTTGTAAAGAGTGTTCATTTCAGTGTCACCTAAGCGAAAATATTATTATATTTGATTTTTGCTAATTTTTTTTATCGAGCTAAAATATCTGTTTTAGCTGGACATTGGCAAAAATGCATCGTATTTTTATCTATCGGTTGATTAATGGTTGAACTCGAACAATGTAATACTTAACGTCGAAAAGTTTTTAATATTTTCGTATTCTATTTTTCGGACATTGCTGAAGAATAAAAGTTATCCCTAAAATGTTCGTCATCACTGTCACGTTTCTTTCCAATTAGCGCTTAGTCGATAAAATCTTTCAAGGCACCCAAAAACAGCTGGAAATGGGTTTTCACGTGGATCAAATGAACCCGGAAGTTCGATGATTTTCACGCCCAAGCATTCAGCTTGTCAGGTGTAAAGACATATATTGCATTTTAGTCAGCTTGTTGCGATTTATAGATTGTTAGCTTATTGAAGAACCCCCCTTTGAGTAATCGATCGGCTATCATTTTGTCAGTAGAAAAAATTTGATCTGGATCTGGCAGACAGATAGGTAGACACCTGTTTTAGTTGTATATCGATAAAGCGGCTAAGCGGTAACGAAGGGGAAATCTAAATACGAATTTAAAATAGATTGTAATGAAAGGTACGCATTGATCCCAGCACCGACTATCACGCCTATTTGTAACACCGGCATAACGAATTGCCAAACGCATGTTCACGGCTGGATAAAAGAATCGGATATTTTCAAATTTCATGCCTTATATCAGAAGGGGTTAAACAAATAAAAAGTGCTGGTCTCGTTTCTCGTTCTCAACTCACTTTTGCTGTTAATTTTCTATTTACTCTTTGAGCGATATGTTTGACGCATGTGTCAATGGACACCACACGTACCTCGCGTTGTCAGATGATGTTTTTAGTCGCGAGGGCAACTAAGATGCACTTTTTAAGAGGAGAGCAGCAAATATGGGTCGCAACTTTCAATACGATATCGTTGACGTCTCGAATTCGAAACTCCGGGGGTACCCGCAGCGATCGTCGGCGTTATCATTGAAAGAAGCAAGCGGCTTTACTTGCTTTATGTTACGTGTGCACTTTTTCCAAACGGCACACGCGCACATCTAATCTCATACTGCCGTTTCAAACTTTTCCATATGATTGTGCTTTCGCACTAACGCACAACCCCAAGATGAAGATTACTTAAATATATACTTAAATATATGAAATAAAATTATATAAAAAAAAATAAAATATATAGCATATACTAATAGAAAGAACTCGGCCTAGATAGAACGAACTATTTAAGCTTTAACAAAAATGTAACTAGTTTTCAGCACAACTACAATATTACCTAAGAAATAGGTTTAGGTGGCCCCTTCTATGTGTGTTGCAATTATTTTATCTATGGGAATGACTTTACATTTAGTAAAATTGCAGCCAGAATAAATTGGCTCAGCATCAATCGTTTCTAGACAAAACAGAAGCTCGCACTATTTATCAGGTTATTTAGTCTTTGCTACCTAGCTTAACTGATACAAGTGGAAAGTCGAAATTTCCTTCACAAGCCTATCTATGATTGATATCAGCTTCTATTTCTCGTGCAGCCGAACATGTTGTCAATCAATATTATCTACTGATGCTCTTCTATTCACTACATCAGGTATAAACGTAGACCACATTTTTTAATCTCCTAAATAGCTCGAAAGACGTCAGATATGATTCGGTGTTTACTTAGGTTTCATCAGACAGGTAAACGAACATTCCTATTTATGGGCCTGCTTCCTCCGTAACCATATCTGCCACACTAAAATGTTCCTACTCAAGAATTATGTGTCCTGATCAGATAGTTGTCGTCTCTCACGCTTCCTCCCCATGTTGGTTGTTTTCGTTTTGTTCGTACATCTGACACTGCGGCAAACCACGGTTGGTAGCGATCTTGCTGTATCATAAACACTTGCGCACCCCATCTTCTTGCGACCACTTACAACGACAGCTAGTAATTAAGAGATATATGTTAAGTTGGCGTCGGGAAATATGGAAGCGTCATCGCCCCCCTACTCTCCCCCGCCTCCTATTAGCAAGACGCATCCAGCAGAGAGAAGGGAACCCCATCACCCACAACGTCGCCTAACCTAGGCGCTGATCGTCGAGCTCGAACTTGCCATCAGCTTGCCTCATGGTAGCATGCAAACGCCATAAAACAGTCTTTCGTATATAGTGAGCTGTGAGTGAAAAGTCGGTGCTGTCGATCGTCAGCCCACGAACCGAACTAGCCGGACAGAAAGGTGATAAACAAGGTCGATCCACGAAACCGCGTTGCAATAGTAAAGCTCGCCGCCAGCTCAACGTCGTGTTCCTACTTAAAACGCAAATACTCTTCATGTTTCGCAGACTGCAGTCGCCAGCGAATGAGCTCCTACGATGAGCTGGCTTGAGTCGCTCCTCAGAGACGAGAAACCATACCAAGTCTACAGGAAGTTCCGATTTAAAAGCGGTGCCCAACTGCTTCGCCGTAGGTGAATCTACGCATAGGAGTCTGGTTGAGGTGAGCTGTTGCAAATCCCGACCGCGGTGCAGCAATACAAAAACAGAGAATAACAAAAAATAAGGCAATTATTAGAAAAATAATTAAGGCGATGATGAATCCGATGAGGAAAATAACTACTGTGTTTGTATTGATCATATGCGGTTTCAGTGTTCTAGTTTGTGAGAAGTGGTTGGTAAGTTTTATAACTTCTTATAACTGGAAAATAGTAAACGTATTTTACTTTGAAGTTTGTAGTGTATTGGTATACGAGTGTGGTAATTATGATGAGAGGGTTTCGTAAGCTAGAAGTCATCGTTTAGTTTACAATGGTTTACCAAACGAACCTTTCCAGTTGTGTCTAGTACGCGCTATTTACTAGAGCGCCGCAAACGGCATTGACGGTCGTAGACAAGCGGCAGACTAAAAGAACGACTAAGTTAACGATAAACTGAAAGGAGCTAGATTCAAATTCCCCATAGAAGCATATATGAATCTATCTATACGAATTCGTTGGAATTCTATTACTACAAGTTCTTAGCGTGCTGAACAACTCCCAATCTAATATAAGTAAAAACTATTTAATCAAATACATTTCGCTCTCAGTTATCTATGTAAGTACTGAATAATTACGCCACATCCCTTTGCTGGAAGCCTGAAAGACAGTTAAAGTCAATTCTCCTGAATTCGACGGCATAGGCAAACAAGCATGTATGTGAAAGTGGAGCCATTGTTCTATCTAGATTTAGTATACACTCAGCCGTTTGAAAAGTTTTTATCAAAACACTGTATGAGGCTTTTGTATCAAGTTCCAATTACGGGGTAATAGACCCCCCTCCTCCCATTTTTCTCTTGCAACTACCGAAATTGACACATACGGCAAAGTGCAAAACACCCATCACTGTTAAAAAATCTACGTGCGGGATGATTTTTAAATAGTTGCTCTAAGTACTTTCTTCGCCGACTCGCGTTATAACTTGTATTCAATTATATAATGTTAATAGACTAACGGGATCCTTATAGCAATACATACACTCAAGTGGCACTTTTGGAACGTTTCCATGGCAGGAAGTTCTTTTGTGACATCATCAACGCGGTTCCGCTAAGGGCGCAATCAGTTTGTCAACTTCTTATCCATGTTTTGGAAACACCAGTCGTTCCAAGTAGGAAACCTCCATTCTCCTAAAAAGTTGTCTGTGAGCTGGTTTCATGGAAGACAAGCCAGCTGCTACGATAAGGATTCGGTTGGTAAAATAGACGTTGTAAACGGCAACAGTCTTCCCTTTGGTGGCCGTAGGTTCTCGATTCGTAGGCGCGCGAATGAACTGATTATTAACACTAACATCGACTACTTACAGAAGTTATCAATCGGGATCTACTTTTTCGTAACCGCCAAAAAGCAACTTAGGAACCGCGAGCTTATCTAAAAGGTTTCAAACGCTACACAAACGTTAGTAGCGAGCCATGGATTTTGTTGCGGGCTGGGTAAGCGGTGAGTACTGAGAGCTTTTACAGTTAGCCAAGCAATTAACTCAAGCAGTATAGCCCATTGAAAAAATGGCACAGAAATTCGTCAAGTTTATTCGTAAACTGATGAACCGAAAAGTGAGACGGGAATATTTAATAAGCAATAGCTTAATTCACCAAATTATTGCTTAAATATCGAACAGGTTGCGCGGGTCTTATCGTAGGACATCCGTTTGACACCATTAAGGTTCGACTTCAGACTCAGGGTGCTGTGAAGCTGAAATACAAAGGCACTATCCATTGCTTTACAACCATCCTCAAAACGGAATCGGTTAGTATCATTTTGAAAACATGTTAACGCCCCCAAACGACATCGATTGAAAATCTGACCCTACAGCACTACGATTGCTTAGTAGTATAGGACATTCCAAGTACTTTTAGTTATGGCGGTGTGCTTCCGTCTTCAGGTAGCCGGCCTTTTCCGAGGAATGTCATCTCTTATGGCTGGAATACCTCTTGTGAATGCTGTCCTCTTTGGCGTCTACGGAAACACTCGTAAACTCTTTGCAGACCAAGACGCCCTATCAACTCACTTTTACTCTGGAATGATAGCTGGTACGTATGTGTATATGATGTTACGTAAATTGAAGATTTCGTATTACCCATTGAAAAGGCTTTGAATATGGACAACATCAACTATATTGAGCATACTACAATGTCAAAGCGTTTGGTTTTTTTCTGATGGTTGTAATATTTGATCTCAGCAAATACTCTAACAAAAGAAGTACCATATACCTCTGCCATTCCAGGTGGCGCACAGAGTTTTATAACTAGTCCGATGGAACTAATCAAAACTCGTCTTCAACTGCAGGACGAAGGGTTCAAGCGAATTCGGGCATTGCAGACGTACCGAACGATAAAACCCCAATATTCAGGCCCTATCGACTGTACGCGTAAGATTTTTCTCAATGAAGGCGGTATCCGCGGTCTAAGCAAGGGACTCGGCACGACTTTTCTTCGTGACGCGCCCGCCTTAGGCGTGTATTTCGCCAGTTATGAATATTTTTACCGCATAGCGGCCAAAAATAGTGGGGGTGTAGAGCTTAGTACTGCTTCGATACTTATGGCCGGAGGAATGGCCGGCGTAACTTCCTGGATGCTCTGCTACCCGATTGACGCAGTCAAATCCCGAATTCAGGAGGCTTCTGAATCGTCCAGTTTTACTACTACAACTTCCCGAATGTATCGACAAGAAGGTCTTCGCAGTTTTTTCCGTGGAGTTAATGCAGCGGTGATTCGAGCTTATCCAGCAAACGCGGCCATATTCTTCACGGCAAACTTTGTTCATTCGCTTTACGCTAAGTCTAACTCGACTACAGCAACGTTGATCGTAGTTGAGAGTGTTCAACAACAAATGCATTATCACCTTCATTATCAATACTTAGCAGAACGGATGCATTTCCACACCATACCAAACCATTTATAAGAAGATGACATAGTGGCACGCGTGATTTTCGTCCTCATATATCCTAAACGCAGATGATATTCAGGCAATTGAACGTATAACGGATTATCGTTTACCGCAAGCGCGAACAACTGTGCACGAACCGATGTGAGTTTTTTTCCACAAGTATACGTGAGGTATGAGCAAACGCAACACGTGTAATAACTTCAAGCTTCAACGAACGCATGGCCTTGCTCCGAAGACAGTCCGCTAGTTCTGGATGTAAATCCTTTCTGAATGTAAACAAAGGTAAAAAATATATACTTTCGTCTGCAATGATGCACAAGCTGTCATGACGGAGAATCCGATTGAGATCTACATACATCAACGAGTCTAATAGTACCTCATATAATGCTTGCCTTACTTCTCTCTACATAGGCCAACTGTATCCCGTTCAATCTGTCAAAATGCTATGAATTATTATTGCAGGATCATGGAATATTTAGAAAAACATGAAAAACAATTTAGTAGTATATATGACAGGCCTCTTGGTCGAGTAATTTAAGGGAATGAAATTGCTCACCATGCTACCTCAACCAGAGTTTCACGTTCAGAGCTATGTTCCTCGTCAGACAGTCGTGCGGGCACGTTAACTGTCAATAGTCTCGATCATAGAAACTAAATGAATCCAAAACGGTTGGAATCAAAATTAGTACTAAATCACAACTATAAAGGAAGTCGCTCTAATATCAGACTTTTCTTAATATCAGTCCTTAGTCTCGCACTTTACGCAGCAAATTCAGGCGGATTCTCCAGTAGAACACAGAAAAGTCACCTAATAAGGACACGAGACGAACTACCGCGGGCTAATTTGCTAGATTGCTATATCATGTAGATTTTCAGCGCTTGACTATTGTAAATAGTGTGTTTACCTATGGCTTCGACTAGTTTTAGCCCTAACGAGGTTCGTTTTCATTGGCCACGTATTAGTCCACGCTTTAGACGATCCATAGAATAATGCCTCTCTATCTTTTTCTGTTAGCCGGCTTCCCTAAAAGAGAATCACACAGCACGCGAAAAAACAAAAAATTGAAAGCTGTTTCTTTCGTCAAGCTTAAATTTGAACTGACTTGAGATGCGCTTACATTAAGTAAAAGATGCCTTAGTTAAAAAAAAACTATTTGTCGTGCAAGTCACCTACGGAATACACACTTCATCAAAAGTGATTTTTTACGCATTTTGTCAAGAAATTGTAAGATTACATAGTTTATCAACACCAAACGGGGCTCTCACCTATTCTAGACTGCATTTGTTGTTAGCACATACCCTCGAGGTTGAATTGAGTACATTGCAAAACACTATACTTTATCAGGAATCGATCATTGGCTCAAACTTGATTACTACGTGTGCGCAGAGTAAAATTATAATGTTATCATTGCAAAACGACTGTTACGTAGATAGGCGCATTCATAAATGATGAAAGTTACGGAAACTGTTAATGCAGGTGAAACTATTTATTTGAATATGGTGCGGGTTAATCTTCTTTGGATAACTGCTTCTGTGAACCTTCATCTAAACTTTTTTTCAGATAAAAACTGAAGACAAGGATAGATCTACTACGGACAGCATGAAGCTAGCCATCACAAATAACAAAAAAAGTTCGTAGTGCGTTATCTAAATTATTCGTATTGTTACCTCTACGATTTGTCCGTGGACATATTATGACAACAACAACGACAACGACAGGCACGCCATCTGTTCGCGAATAAAGCGTTTGACGTTCATCCAATGGTCCTTACTGTTGTGACGCAAGGTGCATTCATTTAGTGCAGTCACTGCCAACCAATGGAGGGTGGAATCAAAGGACTACACTGCTGAATCGGCCTTCTTGAAGCTTATATAAAAACAAAGACAAGAGAAGACGCTTAGCTCAATCGCCTGATCACGAGCAAAACGAAAACACGCTACCAATTATATCTATATAAACGCTGCTATTTCTACGACTACAAAAGGATTTTTTATGAAAATTTAAAGATGTGCTAACCGCCTACATACATACATACATACATACATATAAAATCGTACTACATCATGTGCCGAAGTAACCGAATAGCTCTTGTCCGGTTATTATACTGCGTTCTAGCATTTTTACAGGGGCAAATCAGCGGGGTATACAGTGCTTACGAGGATAGCTACAGAGGCCCATATTCGAAGACCGTGTCAAAAATTGTGACTCAGGCTGTACCCATTCCAGTGCTTATCCCTCAACCTTATCCAGTGCACAAAACCGTGTTTATTCCGCAAACGATTCCCGTTCTGCAGCAATACCCAGTACCATTCAAAGTGCCTGTCATCAAAAAAATTCCAAAGGTGATCCAAATACGGAAGGCGTACCCGGTACCGAAACATTACCCTGTGTCACATCCCGTCCCGGTCCCAATATCCGTTCCGATATACCAGGACGATCCATATCCTGTTTACCAACAAGTGCCAATTCCAGTAACCAAATTAGTCCCTGTCCCGTACAAAATATCCGTACATGTTCCCGTGCCCGTGTATAAACGTATCATCGTGCCACATCCTGTGGAAATGTCGATTAAGGTGCCTATTTTTAAAGAAGTCATCGTGAAAAAGCCGGTGATACTTAGCCAGCCAGTGCTTATCAAGGGGAATCACCAGCTCCGTAGAGGCCTTGCGGGCCGCAGGGCTTTTGGAGACAGCTTCGTAAGGTAGCATGAGCTGGTTAGGCAGCAGAAACTAGGTTTGACATCGTTGAAGTTTGTGGCGATTGTATGTTTTGACGAAAATATTAAGGCACAGTTGACCATCGGTTAGTCGCTCAAGGTGCGTCTATGTGAAGTTTGAAGAAGTTCGATAATAAAATTAAATATATTTAATAAGCCTTAGTAAGTCTGAACCAAGTGGTGCCTTTTTTCTAGCTACGCAGTGCTCACGATTTATGTGACCGGTTACCAAGGCTGGTACGTAACGCAACAGAAAAACATCTTGAATTGAGTTTGTTATCAAAAACGAATCAGTCATTCATAGTAAACCATAAAAATAGACTTGTTAATTACTACGGGAACTGATCCATTATTTTTCTAACTAGCTAGATCGAGTTCGCCATGCATATACCTACAGAAACGGATTTTTCGTTAGTCTCATTTTTAGACTTTCGCATAACCACCGAGTACGTACTCGGATTGAGTAGACAGAAAACGTATACTAATTGCATCGAAAACTGTATAAATATTTATTGTCACCAAAGGCACATGGGTATACAACACTAGGTTATGACAGGCGTTTCACCAAATTATTCGATCTTATGCATAGGCCCATCGCTTCACTTCCCGATACGTCTACCTATCACAGGATATTTGCGGTACAAACAGCGTTTAGCAACACATCGTAGCTAGAGTCATGTGGCGCAGCTATATGTTATACGACTACAGAAAGGTCATCACATATATATAATATTAAATGGTACAGTAAGTATTATATATACATGTTTGAAATGGAAAGCTCAAAATTATTTCAATACGTGTAATTAGTCGTTCAGCCTCCACATCAGCTGCGAATGATCGCCTCGTAGGGTGATATTAGGTAAGGTCACCACACAATAGTATGAGGCACCGAATGCTCAAAAGGTAACTTCGTATCATCGACCTAGAAAACTAGATTTTCAAAATTTGTATATAGACTTATTCTGTGCTCATAAAAAAACTAACGCAGATCTCTTTAAACCTAAATCATCCAACAAGTGAACTCATATAACTTGGGCAAATTGCAGTAGCCTCGAAAAGTAATAGCTCACTCTGGTCTATTTTCGATCAATCACAACGGACAATTCATAATCGGCTGAAGGATGAGCCGAGTTTTCGAAGTCAAACGTTAGCAAATAGTCACTAGAATGTTTTCATTTTAACTCGTATATTTTTTACCATAGGTATAGCGCGGGCGGAGAAAGAAATTATGAGTTGTCGTTTCATCATATGTACATCCAATTGCTTCTATGGGTAAGTTCAGCTAGTCTATGGTGGCGAACTTATACAAGGCCACCTGGTTTAGGAGTATCCCGTGCAACACTGGGTAGCACTGCGTTACTTGTTGGACGCTTTAACCTCGAGTGGTGCCTTGAACAGGGATTAATATTGCACAAGTTCGATTCTCCTCACAATGTCGAAAGGTCTCGACGCGTCGAAGATGTAAAACTATCACAGGTTGTATTGGACGTCAATACCATGCTGGCCTGAGGACGTCATCATGTATAGCACTAGCGGACCAAACACTTTATCTGGAAAAAAAAAACAAGATTTAGATTTCAAGTGGAGCTATTTGGAAAACTTAGTTCCCGAACGATAGCACAACGGCGAGCTCCGATTTCAAGCTGCCAGCATAAATTTACTTCTGATAACTTAGCTCAACTTGAAGTAGCCTGAATAATTCGGACGTCGGCGGGAAGCCAGCTAGTCTGGTTCGGTGAGAAATTAGACTGAGGTGGTTTCAGCCCGAACCTGAGTCTAATATACCAGTTAGTAGTAGTATTAAAATCATTAGTAAAATCTGAGTTGGTTCGGAATGAAGTATAACAGAGTAATTGTTTTGTTAACGAGAGTAAGCGGTGAATAGTGGTTTCCGCGGAACAAAGTCTAAGCATTGGGTCCGAACTCAACACTCGATATATATGAAATAAGTTCTGCTCTAATTGTGTCGGATTGCGCACACTCAACTTATAAATATGATGATTCGAAAATACTAGTCAAAATGACGCTCTGGTAAAGATCACTATTTCTATCAATGACTTCAATTGAAATGGCGTAACTGGCAGCTGTCCTAACAGCAAACAAGCCGTAAAGAAGTATTAAGTTAAATTCAAAAAAAAAAAGCCGTTTGGAGCCTAACTTTATAAATTGACTAAAAAATGTCACATTATGCAAAGTTGTAACGTGCTTTAATACATCGTAGGCGGTTTTTATTAGCGATTATTTATATCAGAAATACTATTTTTAATGTTGACGACTAAACATCGCTTCTAATTCCTTCCTCGGCAGGAACGGGCTAACGAATCATCGAAATGTGATACTGGATAGAGGCTGCTAACTTCTTCCCAAATCTTCCTTGTTAACTGTTTACTTATAGCTTTCTACAGCTCGAAGAAAGCGGAATTCGCGTCGCAGATACGTAGCCATAGAGATACCCATCGCCAAGGTATAATTAAAGTCTTAATTAGTCAGTAATTAACAGGTATAATTAAATGGTATTCTGTAAATTCAATGTGAGCATCTACCTCTTTGGGTACGGCCGGCTGGTACCAAATGAACACAGATCTCTATAGTAAAAAAGCAATCTTACAATAAAGAGTCTCAGATGTGCGCTTAACACTTAGCCGCGCGAGTTTTAAAAGTATTTTTTCGCTCTTCTAAAACGATTCGTCCTTGACGATGTGACGAGCGCTATAAAAGTCATGGGATGGTATTTCTAGCACTGCGATGTATCTGTCGTTACTGCTGTCAACGATACGTCGATAAATAGGGTCCTATCCAAACGTTCAGCTTTTTACCAAGTACATATGATTTTGGTGCTTTCACAAATGTACATGAATTTAAAGAAAGTAGGCACATTCGCGTGCATTAGGCCACTTTCGAAATTAATCGGGATGCGGAGCACTTACAACTAAGCATCTGTTTTATGCCGGGAAATACCCGTTTTGCAATACTAGCTCCGCCACACGGATACTCTTGCAAACGTCAGCCGTACGAAGAACGATTATCAGTCAAATCGGAATGTTTAGGCTAGCTTACCGTTTTCGCTCGGGACATGATATTACAAAGGAGCTTAATAGTTCCCCAGTGTTGTATGAAATTTCAGCACTCAAGCTTATTAACAAACCAGAGTGGGGTAGTTGTTCTCAGGTTATGCTATTCAAGCTTAGAGTCGATAATTTTCGAAAATATACGAGTCGTTGACGCGTTAAGACATCCGATTAGGACAATTAGGCGAAATCAAGTTAAGCCACTCTAATTCTGTTAAAAAAACAACAACTGTGGGGCACACAGATATCGGGGGTCGTAATGAAATTTGTCTTATACAAATGAATATAAGCTAAGGATGAATGGTTCGCGTCGAAAGACTCTTTGTAGTTATTGTGTGCAGTCGGCTAATGCATAATTTGCCACCGTCGGTTTCAAGCGCTTGTGAGTTGTCTAATCCGTAGCGACGTAATCGGCTACGATATTATCTTGGAGAAGCTGATAGGAAATCAGATTCCTTTTACTGATTACTTCAGCACAATGCGATAGACATCGTTGTTACTAGCTCTCAGAACGCCCTCCTTTGCCGCTACTTGCTTCTTGTTATCAGCTAAATGGCTGAATAAAGCTTTCTTCAAATTATGCACCAGCGAATTACTCATCTGAAGTCAATGTGATCGCTGAATGCCAAGCATTATTGCTAGCAGACGACACCAAATGTAAACAGATGCGAAAGCAATACGTACATGTTAGCCTAACAGCGTCTCGTGGACATACTTTTGTCGGGATTTCTTTACCATCGAGAGACATGCCGGCCGGAACCTAATACGAGACGGACAAAGTTGAACAAGGCCAACATTGTGAATAACTATGTTTGATTATTACTTATTGAAAAGTACAAGTATATAAAACTACGTTAACGTTGTTGTTGTTGGATTGGTATTCGTAACGTCGTGGGAAAGACTTCTCGTGGCGGAGAGATTAACGCTTTGCGAAATATTGGTCAATATATGAACGAGGACTACCATTTGAAAGATCATCTGTCCTCCATTTCATAGCACAGTGGATCGTACCTGCATGAAGCTACTGCATGACTTGATCGTTTTGTCTGGCAGGGTTCGAAGGCTGATGAGGTTAGCGGTGGGTTTCGGCGCTCGAAGGCATACTGCGTACAGGGTGGGCTCCGTCGACAAGACGCTTAAGGAACGGACTCGGCCAGATAACATTGAGTTATACTGCATACACCCCTCTGGTGCTGAATCCAATAGCCGTTCGTAAATGTTAGGGAAAATAATATATAAAGAAGCAAAGCATAGATTAGCGTTCTGCTTGTGTGCTGCGCATGAACTGGAATCACTTAGGTAAACGATTAATGTGACGATAATCACTACGGCGTCCGTTTTTTCTCAGCCTTATAGCGGCGCTCAATGTTGCGGAACTGCAATGAGTTGCCTTTATAATTCATAATGTCCTTGTATATATTTGTCTTTTAACTTTAAAAGTGCGCGGGTGCAACGAAACGACTAGGCAGCCTACCAAGTGCTGGCGAAAAGCAGTAGTTATGCTGAAGCCAAACGCTCCACGAAGTTGGCACAGGGGCCCCAGAGACGCTAAGTTCAAGACGAGCTGGCCGCGTAATTGCGGTGACAACGTTGACGATTACTAGGAACATCAGAGGTGTTATTAGTCTTCCTTAATCCCATATTTCTCGGTCGATATTGTTAAAGTGAATACGTGTGTTTTTTCCAAAATCGCATTACCATTGTAACAGCACAAAAGACTACATCGAACCTCATTCACAACAATATTAAACTACCTAAACCGCTAGTTGTATGTCGGGCGGGCTTTAAATTCTAGAAGACAGGTTCAGAGGATTAGAGACCTGCTTTATTAGCCGATTATCACCAGGTCTGATAGCTCTCGGATTATTAGTACATTAACTAAATGACGTAATAAATCAAGTCTTTGAACGTTTTTCATGCAATCAAACGACCGACTACATACGTTTGATGCTATTTCGAACTGCTCTGCTCCGGTCGCTCGGCTGTTAGCATGAACTTTTCGAGATCGGTCCGCACGGAACAGATAAATTCTCTAAGAAAATAACTTTGAATGCTAAGCTTTTCTATGCGATTGCAGTTAAAAGGCAAATGTTCAACTTTTCCATCAGTGTTGTGCCTACGACGAAAACTGCCTTTGCATACCCTAAGGTGAAGCAGGAAATCTCCAACAAAAACTATACTACATGCATGGAGCTGCGAAAGCCTAAACACTAATTATTGCCGCCCGCCAGACCGGGTTACGAAGGAGTCTGAGAAAAGGCATGCCAAACAAGTTCAAACACTATCTTTCAGCGTATACTCACAGTGTTGACCTGAATTGTTTCCGGTTAATGGTGGCGCCACGACGACTCCATTAAGTTTGACCTTGAACACTGTCGTAAGCGGGAGATCAAGCTGTTCGAAGTCTAGTCGTACCTGACAGACCTCACGAGGAATCATGACATCACTAGACCAGTAAGGTTGTTTAGTTCGTAACGGATAATCGGGGTTCGCAAAATTAACCCCTAGCGCATTCGTGGGGAGATCAATGTCTATATATTCCATCTCGCCTAGATCAGTGGGCGGATGCGCTCTCTTCGAGGGTGACTTTATGAACGTTCTTGATTTATCAGTACTAGACACATCTGCAAACAACAGATTTTGCTTGTTCTTGTTTGTAATGCTTCGCAGGTAAAACTGAAAAAAAGCATTTTTTTTTTTTATATGAATCTGTACAATATTCAGGTGTCAAAGTGAACACTAATGCATGGGACCTGATAGACATCCAAAGTTATTGGATGTAGCAGTTGAACAGAAAAACGCTATACTCACGTACACAACATACACCAAAACCATCAGAACATCGACCCTCTCTGATAAGGGAGGGACCTTTGCACTCCGGATAACCCACGCATTGTCCTAGATGATTTTCAGTGGAAATACACTCGGTCTCAGCGAAACTCAGCTTGGGGAACAGGGGCGACAGTTGAAGAAAGAACTGTTCAGCGTTCATTTCTGGCGGAATGATACAATAACATGATATATGATATAAACATGAGATCGATTGTTATTAAATCTCAGATTTTCTTTGTTGTCCGCTGCTTTCGCTTATAGATTTAGGAAAGGCTTCGGGCATAACATCTCAAACAGCGTGTATCACGATGAACAGACGGCACACGTAGCCGTAGAATCATCATCCGTTCGAAAAAAGCTATATGGAAAGGCTCATTTTTTTACGAACTTCAAAATCGTCGCCAGCCTTTTGCGATCCTTCTAACGAATAACAAAACACCTTTTTCTGCCAAGTGCACCAAACACGTCAGTTTTTTTCTACTATATGGAAACATCTGCACATTGATGGCAACAAAAGCTTACTGCTCGTTATACTGAGACGATAGACCTCTTAAATTTGAGAAATTGCTTGCCAAATTTCATGTGGCAATTAAATCTCGAGTCGCTTGACATTGGAGCCACTTCAGCGATGTAATGGTGCGTCGTGCTTGCGTGTAACAATAACGTTCCCGATGTCAGACACGTAAGACAGTTTTATATATAACGTGGGATGGTTTGTTACTTAAACTGAGAGATGTCTAGGGGCAGCTGTAGGAGCGCTATAGTGGCCATACGCGTATCATAGAACATGAGAGGTATAAGACGAAAGATTGCATCTGTTTTCTATAGTAGAGATAATAGATTGGCCGTGACCGGCCGAAATGTCCAATAGCACATCGAACGTGATCAAGGGTTTATTGTAAGCTTATCTGAAAGATGATGTTTCAACAGCGGTTGTCGTTATTAGTGTTGCAAGGCAATGCCTTCCTAATAATAGGTACGATTTAGATCGCTGCGGTGGTAAAAACAAATGAAAAGGAGTTATCTAAGTAAACTGTAGTGGGCCGGAGATCCTGTGTACGTAGTTGTCAAAGTTACGTTAGTAGGTCATAAAGATTGGATAGGGGGTAATCCTTGCATCATTCACTGGTCGCTAAATAATGGGTTAATTTATCACGATCTGGGTTGTGTCTAGATAAGTTCGACTCGGTCTTGACAATTGTCTCTACTAACACACGTAGCGATTAATGTACGCAGTGCCGCCCTGTTTTTTGGTTCCTTATCCTTAATCTGTTCCAGTGAGATTTATATAAAGTCCAGCGCAGTTGCTCAAACAAACACATATCATGCATATGGTTTAAAGTTCTAACACACCGCTGAAATGGATGCGAAGTGCTCCATCAAGATTTGTGGAGAACAAAATAAAGCCTCTATCGTTTATGTGAAATCAACTTCAATTCGGTCAAAACCAACATGGAACTATCAGTGCAGACTTTGAAACGGTGCTTGAAACTTGTTTCCATGTAGAAAATTGATAAAAAAAAAAAGCGTTTAAAACACATTGTTGCTGTTTCTGTTAGCCGGTTCGTTGATATGCAGATAGAAGGTTATCCTTACATTATTTGTATACACAGTAAACGAAAGTATAGACGCACACTCACAAAGACACTGGATCTAACACGAGGGCATAATCACTCGTGTTTGATAAGAACAAAAAACACGATCAATTTCGGCCACCATGGATTAGCAGATGATCGGCATCTGTGATTTTTATGACGATGATTTATCGTCCCTGCGACTTCTGTAGTGTGGGGTACACTATTATTCCATAACTAAGGCAAACTAGATAGCTCTTAAATATGATTTAAACAATATGGCGTTTAAGACCAGTAGAGTCTCGATGTCAAACATTGAGTAATTATAAAAGTTGGCTTCGGCTGATAAGTTTAACAGCATCGGATCAAAACTGGGAATCTGAACGACATATACTTCCGTGTATGCCAAGCCTACTGAACACGCTACTGCACCTTCGAATGTACTACGTATTCGAATCAAAAAAAGATATTGAGCTATCATGGGACTAAATTAATGCTGATAAACTTGTATATCTATCGTCTACACTTCAAGAAAATGATTATACAATGATAACAGATAGTTGCACAGTCAAAGCGATAGATATGATAAAGGTACGATAACACTAGAGCATCGCTATAGCCGCACAGAACGTGTTCATTTCCTTTGAACATTGCCTTAAAAAGAAGGCCTATGTGTTTGCAACATATCCACCTACTGCAGCTCTGCGTTGACATCTACGGTGACTGTACGAATTGTGTCCCGTAGAACCCCAAAGTTTTTTTTTTGTTTTTTTCTGTAGCTCTTGTTTAGTTTGGATAATTCACTCTCGACGCCCAGTACGTACACTTCAACAAATCACGATATGCAATCACCCACACACACACACACACAGTATTCTGAGGCGAACATGATCCCGCCATTTACTATCATCAATACTTAGCGTCTATATTATGGCTGAAGAGGGTTGAAGTTACTTCACGAAGCAGATCAAAAAAGAATATCTAAGAGACAGGTACAAGCTATCCTCCTACGTGCCTTTTTGCCTTCTCCGTTAACGCTGTACTTCTATGAGGTGGAATGAGCGAACAGGACTATCGAATGCATTTAGGATAGACTTGCCAACCGAAAAACGAATATAGCCCTGGTCGAGATATTTCGAATATACGTTTCCGGCATTCGTATGCACAAAGTGGGGCAAAAAAGACAGAGTCTCTTGACGTCTCTCAGCTTCATTGAATACCGCTTAAGGTAAAAAACAGATACGCAGTTTATCGCAATCGAAAGCGGATACAACCATGTAACACGCCCTTGTAACATGGGCATTAACACCACTTCGGTATTCTTATATTACTAGTAGGTTATAAGTCTATGACAAGATATTCTGATAGTCATTGTTGTATATATTGAATTTTACACTTTTACTAACAATTCTGCAATTCTAGAAATGTTTCTGTTACAAATATGTTCCACAGTTCACTAAGCTCTTTATAACGACAATTCACGCATCTCGTACTAGTCTACCAGACTTATATATGTATATATGCGTTTTTCTCTGATAACCCTTTTGGAGATGAATTGAAGTTTTTCTTCAAAGGCGAATCTCGAATGCTTTGTAATGCAACAATTTCTAATCCCCACAAGTTCTCTGGAAAATTTCGCCTTGCCTCTTCTTCCAGTCTTCACTTTTTCTCAGATAAACTGTTCCACTTCACACACGGCTAGACCCCGCTGCAAACCTGATATTGTAGGATGCATCACATGATGATCACATGGTTTATGATCTATACTGACCTTGCGTTCTTCTTTTGGGCATAGTATATACCCGCATAACGAACACATTAAGCACAATCACTAGTATAAACAGAATCCAAATCGAGCTCATGGTTCGGTTCCAGCACAACGTGTTTGGGCCACGAGCACAATGTTGAACTCTGAGGACTTTGGGAGAGTCGTCCTTTTACAGATGCATCACTCCGACCGTCTGCTGCTCGACGTTTTACGTCGTCCCGCCATGACGTCAACGCTTAGCAGCAAACCGCAGTTTACTCAACAACCATTGCTGGACAACTTCAAGGGCAAAGCGGCTACCTCGCCCTCCCTATTGCTGCCTCGTCCTCTGCCCTCGTTCTCCATTTTAGGTCCTCCTCTCCCAAGACACTCTTCAGGTGTGCGCCTCTTGAGGAAGTGTTTCACTGGGCATGTTGCCTAATAACCATCCAACCACTTCAAAAGATTTTGCCTCCTTTCGTTGTCTGGTACTCAATACCAGCAAGTCAATCCCGACCTGCTTTGCTCACATATCGTCAAGGGGCCGAAGAAACACTGGTTCCTGTCAGTGGTTCAAGTTCGTGGGAGCAGTTAAATGATCTTAGAAGAACGCGCCTGCCCGTTCTATTAGAGTGAACTATCAAACACTTAACGCTCCACGGCAATCAGCCGAACAAAAATGCAACTCAACTTACTCAGGGTTATTTAGCGACCCGCATTGATGCCGCTTTCTATCAAGGAACAACCTGACGCGGCAAATGACGTTTTTCTCGTGCCAAAAATCGTACCGGCTATATACATATATGTATACGTTAGATTCTACTAATAATGAGTATAATGATGATTCCATAATGGGGCACATGGCGGTCTCAGAGCACCGATTGTGCATTGCGATGTCGTCATAGGTATGTTCTGCCGAAACTGCGAATTTGCACTAGTAATAGGCTTTACATATAGTCCAAGATATTGCATGAAAAATGTTTTACCGAAGATAAAGAGGTTCGCGCCCTGGATCGAGAGATGGGCTAGGTAGGCGCGGAAAAGGTAACGTTGGTTCAAATAAATACGGAAGAATTAGAAAAGGCAAAAGACTACGTAAACAATGCTAAGATGATCGAGAAGAATACTTAACGTTTCCAAGGAAACCTCGATAGTCTCATATTATATTCTAATAACAAGGAGTACGACAGCATTACATCAAGTTAACTATAAACGTCAAAGATGAAGTAACGTATCGCGGTAGCATGAGCGTATTAGAGAACGCGAACAGTTGCTTATTAACTAGGACAATAAAAATTTAGTCGTGAGTACGCACGTGACTCTTGAGAGAGCTGAGCTTGAAGGAAATCCCGAGGACAGACCAACGCTGTTAATAGGTACATATACAGTAGATTTTACTTGGGTTTATTTTGGCAATTTTGAGGTCCAGGTTAGTTTCAGGAACAGGTTGTTGAAATACCTAAATCAGATTTACGGCATTATTGAAAGAACGCGGTAACTACAAAAATGTAACTGCCGCGAGACAACCATTGATGTAAGCTCACACTGTAGTCCTCCTGAGCTGGCTATAATACCAACGAACCAAATTACATCGCCGAACTAAGAAAAGAAAACGGGAGTGGACGAAATCCGCGGATCTGCCTGATATATAAGTGGTTTGGCATAAATAACAACTCAAACACTGGAAAAATTTCTCTCAAACTTAGCTTCGGCGCATATACCTCAGCGCGTTGGCTATGATGGTAATACATCTAACTAGGAAAAGCAGGGGTTGCTGATTCAAGCTTCGTCCTAGACATATCATACGACAAAGGCAATTAAACAAGGATAAACATTTCGCTCTGTCAACGTCCATGACGTTAGAACATGCTACCAAATACATTTCCCCATACAATCTATTAATTGGGACGAGCCTACAATTCAGTACCAATGATGATCCCCGAGAAATAACTGTGAGAAACGCTCTTGCAAGCCGAAAAAAGGTTCGAAGTTTTTTCTGCTGTGTCTTAAAGTCGTGCGTACAATTTAAAGCAATAAACAATAAACGACAGCCATACTGTCACAGGATGTCGAGACTAGTTCTTTGCAGTGCCCAAGGATATAAATAAGAAATACGAAATAGGTCAGTGATGCTCCTTTTGACGTGGGTGGATATTAAGACTACATTATTCTTGCCAATTTACCAGAAGATTGAACCTTGTCGCAAATCTACGAACCCGAAATAGTTATAAGAACAGTCAAATGCTTATTAAATTGTTGGCATATCAGTACTGGGGCTGTTTTTGAGCCCTCAAGAGGCTGAAATCTAACTACTTTTAGCATGTACAGGTGATTCTTTGCTTTCTGCTATATTCCATCAACGTACGGTGTAGTGACAACGGTACACGCATAAATGTATAAAAGCAGAACTTGTTCAGGCAGTTATAAACTGAAATGAATCACCTGAATCTTTTTTAAAGCGAGATTTTTTATCAAAAAAATTGACAATTCCTACAATATTGAAGGATCGAAGCATTCAAAAACCGTTTAAATATAAATGTTTAAATAACTTATCTTTCCTATCGAAAAAAAAGTACGTCCTAGGCCTAATATCGTCATCTGAGTTAGCAGAGTCCAATGATAACAACAGCGTCGGTGGCACGATAACTTACCCATTCAATTCCTTTACGACCTTGTATTATCTTTGCCTTAATCGAATAGGAGTTGTATAATAAATTGCCGATAGGCGGATATGTAATCATCATTTGGCTACGAAGTATGACGCAAAATGTCTTCCTGTTTTACTAGACCATGGATCACACATGATCTTCTATAACAAGGCTGTCGTTTAACAAAAAATGTGTCCGGTTTAGATGAAGTCATTGCCCTAGCAATATATCAAATAAGGGAAAATGGTATGTATGGCGCTCTACAAACCCACTGAAAGGTGCCTTTAAAACAATCATGATCGGCTCCTTCCAGTTCAACAATGTCTAGTCATTATCTGATTTTTGTCATTATTGTGATCTTGCATAAAATATTTTTCACATAATTTTTGGATTGTAGAAAATTCTTAACTGATTACGGGTGGCATCGTGTCGTGCGTTGGTTAAGGAAAAAGAACATTATTTTACAGATTGCCAAGGTGCCCCTGTGATAGCTTAGCGGGTAACGTATTTACCTGCTGATCTCAGGAACACGGTGTGGTCAAGGTTCAAACCCGGGCTGAGATACCTACGCTTCGTGGTGGGGGATAGCCATCTGATGCTATGGCCGTACGTGGCGTCGTATTCAAAACGTAGAAAGGTTATGCGTTAATAGTAGTTTTTGCTTTGGAATCACCCAGTAACGTGAAAAATGCTTAGGGTTAATACAGATCGAGCTAACTGTTGACTAACAAACATAACTGCTTGCTCACTTTGTAATTGTTGGCTTAAATAAACATGACACTTGATCACAATTCAAGATTTGATTTAAGCCGACTTTAGAAACCCTTCCGACTTAAGAAATTACTTCAAGTCAATTTTTTTAATAAACTTCCAGTCGTCGCATATGGAAACGCATGGCGTTCATTCGTCACATTGCTGGCAAAGTCGTATTCCACTTTTTCTTTGCATTAGGCTCTATTTTCCTTTGACTATTTTGATTCGCAGCTCCGAAACGTAGCTAATGATAATAACCATAACGAATAATGGTATCTATGCATAGGCCATTTGTCTGTGTGCCCACTGAACTCCATAGCTTCATAAAAAAAATTTAGCCCCTTCTCTTTCAAGAGCTCTCTCAGCCGAAAGGTGACCCTCTTAATTCGCTCCGTCTTTGCACACTTCGATCTGCTATCACACGACGTCGCCAATCAAACATCAAACCATTTCAAATCAGCGCTCATTTTTATAATGTAACATTGATACAGCAGACGACGACCTGCCAAAGCGACTTGTTGACTACGGTGGGCAGCATCTATATCTATTTATCTGTGTGTCTACATATATTGGAGAACATTTTTCCGCGCTTCTTTTCGCGCCATCGAATTCAAATGTTACTACTGCTGCTGCTGCTGCTGCTGCTGCTTTTCGGAAGGCTATCAACGTTACAAACGCCACTCCGGCCACCTCGTGCTCGAGCGTCTATCGGGAGCTGGTCTCACCTCCGATGAGTCGTAGCGGCAGCGTAGGAGCGCGACAGCGGCTGCTACCAGCAAGCGAACAGGCAGGCAGCCGCAGCTGTAGCCTAAACAGCAGCAGCGGCAACGGCGGCGGCTCTCTGTCGGTCGGCTTGGCTCCGCTTGTCACTATCGACAACAGTCAACACCAACAATCGCTGCTGCGGCGGTACCAACAACGGCGGCGGCGGTTGTTGGAGCACCTTTTGAGAGCTGGATTCGGGCTGGCGGCAGACATCCAGAGCCCAATTGGACCGAGCAGTGCGACGAGACCAGTGGAGACCCCTTTGTCGTCGTGCTGTGTCGACCATTGCTGGCAACCAAGCCGTATCGATACATGGACCGATATAAACGAAGAGAGAGCGGCCGCAGCATCACGCACAACAGCTTCAACTAGAGATAGACATCGACTTTGGGGCAGAATCACGCGTACGGATATACACGATTTGGGTTTTGCTGGTGCGGTGTGCCGTGTGCGAGCGGCGCTGTGTTATGCAGCCTGAAGACAACGACTGAGTGAGCAGGACAAGCGGTCCCAGCCAAGCAAACAAGCTTGCCTCAGCGGGTAGGTGGTGATAAGGAGTGCACCTCGGAAGCGAGTCGTAAGCTGGTACCACTGCTAACACCGGCTACGACCGCTGAACCGATGTGTGCTCCAGGTTCGGCGAACGACAGTGCTGCTGTTGAAATAGTGGTTGGAAGGCACACGAACCAGCTGTAGGGTTATCATCGTACGGCAGCTGCTGCGCAATGAAGTAATACTACCGTTATACTGATACAACGACTAAATGTGAGTAGTTGCTGCCACCGTGAGCGCCCACGGCTGTGCGGGAGGAAAAAGCTCTCGAACAAACAGCTGCTCCGAAGCAACGGACTGTTCGATGAGGACTGACAGTAAAACGCCGTCAAGCAACGGAAACTAAAAACGGGAAAACAGACAAACTTGAGACTGCCGGTGCACGTTGTTATGACGGCAATAGATTTGTAATCTTTTGTGCGAGAGTAATTTCTGGAAATAGCGTTGCTTTGCGTGTTCGTGTGTGTACGGTCTGTGTAAGTGTCGATCTGCACGGGGAATCCTCATCGTCGCCGCTGGGGTCGCTTCTCTAGTCAGACACTTATGTAGCCGACACTCCGTAATCAGACTCTGCAGACATACAAAGGAACTCCTCTAATTGCTATTATATAATACTATATCCTCTTATACAATAGAAGAAGGCGGCTGGTCAACTGTAGTTGTCGCACACGCGTACCGCATAGACGCCACACTGCAGAGCCCGACACCCCTCTTTCCGTCGCTGTAAGTTTAATTGAGATTTTTGCGTTTTGTCTGCCTGATTTGCCCGGCATCTTGTTGGTGTTTTTTATATCTGAATTTTGGCCGCCACCTGCCAGAGCATAACGACAACATCATCAATAATAACAACGACACTATTCTATTAAAGCTAGCGCCGGCAACAGAGGACCCCTTGAGCCTGCAGCGGGAACTGCGTGAGTCAACTCGGCTTTTGCATCGGAGACAACAAGCTAATGAGCGGCACATGAACGAAACGCTAGCAAACGTAACGACCCGAACGGTCTGATACGTTGGATTGTAAATACGCACGGTGGGTTGCTAGCGGCTGCGGCGCTCAGGCATCGAAGTCTCGGAGAAATCGGCAATACTTCTAATCGTAGCTAGTCATAATGTTCGATCGCTGGAAACAGATCGAAGCACTGTACATGAATTAGCTACGTGGAGGTATCAGAGAAATAAAAAAAAAAGTGGATTGTACCAGAGTGGCATTTATGTGAATAAGGTGTCAACTTCGACGCGTGGTTCCAGTGGCCCTAACGATTATTCCTATGCCCTTTGGCAATTCAGATAAAGCCAAAAGGTGTACCTCGCTAACTAAATAAAACGTCGGTGTGAGCAATGATAATTGCAGCGATGTTGACCGCAAACGCAACTCCGGCCATGTCGAGTAGTGAGGACTGTCAATCTCTACTGTTCTCTGTGCGGTGTTAGACCAGGACCGGGTTTAGCAACATTAGTCAACATGTTTTATGATACAAACTCGCTCCTCAGAATTACTAACAAGCTTGCATCGAGCATCCGAATTCGGGTCAGCGAACAACCCCATCTCCGATCAACCAATCAATCACACAGCTTTTAAAAATATGAGGGGGATTTAAATCCGGCAGCTGGCGAGCAGAGCAGAGCGATAGATCGCAGCGTGTAGTTATGCCAAAAACAAAAGCGTCCCGCCGAAGAAAGGGCCCAGTGCAGAAAAAGCCGAGTTCTACACAACCGCACATTGATTCTCTCTAAAAATCATCATCATCATCGTATCCATCACACTTTTGTGTCTGTGTTTTACTGCGGACCTCTACAGAAAAGGTCAGCCGCTTGCGTTTAAAGTCAGCGGCTTATTGTCGTTGTCTAAGTCGAATCTCAACTCGAAAAGCAATGCCCAACACTTCTGTTATTCCGCTAGAGTAAATATGCGTGCTTCGTGAAGCCAATGAGAACATCTCTATATGATGCTCGAAAGCCGCTGTCTGCCAGCTAAATCTGTGGCGTGGCGTGCTTCTCGCTATCCATCGACCCGTGGCGCTATATGCGTGAACTAGGGGTGGATACATACATCTAGCCATACATCGAGGTACAGAGGCCGTCCTAACAAATAATTACGGCTCCGAGAACTAGCCACTCTGACTACCATGGAGACTACCAGCGGCAATAGTATTGTCAGTCAACAGTCAGGCACAGCTGTGGGTGCCGGTATCAGTGTAATGGGCACCAAACAGCAGGTAGGTTATTTGTTGCGTTGATTTATTACATTGGACTGTTGTTAAGTGCAGTACACCCGATTATTATCCAACCTAGGATGGAATGAAGGGCTAGAAATCGATGCGCTTTTATTAAGTGTGTTTAGTTCTGAGCTTAATGATTCTGGCAGAGCATGCTTTCTGAGTTGATATTGTCACTGTTTTCAGAGCCTGCAGGAATGCCTTCGTGTTTTCTCCACCAGAAAGGCGCCATTAATTTTTTTTTATCGCGCCGGAGCTGTCGCTTTGTTCCCACGTTCACAGAACTTTAGATTAATAGAAAGATCCTATATATTCAGACGTGTGTCTTATGCAGCAATGTATGCAGATATATATATAACCTATTGAAGGGTGTTGAATCGTTTGCACACTTTTTAGGACATCGGTATCTGTTGACATCTTTTGATGATGATATGAGATATTAATTATGCCAAAAAAAAAGTTATCGTTTCCGGCCCAATATTTCCTGCTACATACCCGGAAAACCATTTTTCGAAACTCCTTGACTCAGCTCCCGTTTTTCGATAGATGTAATCCCTTAAATTTAAGATATGAAGCAGTATAAATATATGCACATTAGTAACGTTATCTAAGACACTATATAGGCTAAATAAGCAATACTAATTATTGCTTTATGGATTGGATTATTAAATGCCGGCACGCAATGCCCAAAAAAGCGAGCCCATTGCCCGCGATGGCAAAGATCATCGGCTAGATTTTAAGACTCTCATGTTTACATTCTGCGTAATGCAGTAGCAGTCGCAGATATACGGGCCTAGAATAGCAGCGAGGCTGGCACAGAGGGGGCATTCGCCCTGATTGCTGAAAGGTTTCCAGGCCAGCATCACCTTTCTGCTTGGGCTCCACGCAGTCTACGAAATGCTGTGCTGCAGGCATTGACCAACAGCAGCCGTGCAACCACATTTGAAAATGCACCTGCCGATTTTCATTTGCGATAGAGACGGATGCAACGGGGGTATGAGGAAAATAGGGTGACATATGCGGGGCTCAGGTTTATTCGCCTTTGTTGGTCCAGGTTCCAAGGCACAAAATTAGCTCCGAGCTAAAAGCTTTAAGGGAACTGTTACAGATTCGATAACTGCAGTAATGTCTACGCCGATACCATACACGAACCGTTTGTAGTTCAAGCATTCGTTCTAGGTACGGTCAAAACAGCACGTTTACCACTTGACACGGAAGTAATTAGCAACATATTTATTATAAATTATTCTACGCAGTTATTCTCTAGAAATGAATATCCATTAACATATCGCTAATGGGTGAGTTAGGAGACCAACGTTGGCTCTCTGTGACAACGAGTATTTGGCCTGAAATCTATTCCTGATTGCGCAGGTCTTCAATGAACACGTCATTCACGAATTCAATTTATTCTAATCATTTCGATTGTGCCCTCCCCTATCATATCATGGCTGTTTATCAACAACAATGTGCTGAAGAAGGCCATGCAAGTAGTAATATGCACCGTGGCAGGAATTTAGGTGTAACCTTAATGAAACCAAAACGCTCCTTTGAAGTACCTTTGGTAACCATTTTTTCATATATGCATTACGTAAGATCAAAAAACGATCATGAGTCTTTAGCGCACTATGTACAGTGCGGTCAAGACTCGTGATCGTTTGAAAAACCATTTGACACATATATATATATATATATGTGTTTCTATAGGAACTTCGAATCTCCGTCTGCGTCACAAATCAATTACGTCATTATCTCGGACTTTAGAACACTCGTGTGATAAGGGCCTTCCATCATGACAAAAATGTTAATGAACGCGCTGTGTGTGTCTCTATACGTTGATGAAAAAAAGTAGAGCTGGTATTTATTATTATGACACACATACCCTTCAGAACTTTTTCCCTCCTTATTACAGCCATTGTTGCTATACAATATATATATTAGCATTATTTGAACCTCAACTGGTTGATTTGTTTGTGCAGGTACAATGATGCATCTTTAGTGTTTTTAGTTGTTATACTATAACTGACATTATGCCTGGATAAAATTCCCTAATATATAGTTGGTGCATCTTTATTGTTTACAAAAATATTCTTCGAAAGGTTGCCGATTTTTGGAGCACACTAAAAGTAGTTTAGTACAAAACGAATAGCGCCTAATTGTCAGACAGCAACTGAATTACTACGCTACCTTCTATTCTAATTGTACCAACACGTAATAAAGTTTAACTACACACAATATGCGAATTTTGACATTTTTGGTGGCCCTTTGCTTCCTTCCCCAGACGCAGCAGCATAACAGCCAAATTGAGGCTTTTCTCTCGTCCACTAGCGGCAGCAGCGTGAAAAAACTCAATAACGGGACAACTGCTACAACAACGGCGACATCCTTGTCTATAGCTATCACCTCCAAAACAAATAACAGCACCGGCAGTTTGTCTAGAACTGGACCAACTGGTGGAGACGCGGGCAGTAAAGAGAAGGCTTTCGGCAGAGAAATGGGCAAAGCAGCTCTTAACAACTGCAATAGTGTCGTAGCGAGTCATAGCTCTGTGAGCCTTGCCCAGGACAGCAAAGATACTGGCGGAGAAAATGGCAACACCAAACGAGGTAGTCAAAAAGAACAGGTGTTATTTTCACAAAATTCATCAGTGGTGACACCAGGGACAACACCTGCCCCTGCAACAGCGGCAAATGCACCCCAGCCGAATGGCCAGACAGCGGCCGAGGTAGCAGTCTCCAAACGTGGACGCAAATCGAAGATCACCTCAGGTGGGACGCCCAGGCCACTAATATCATTAGCCTGTAGATACTAAGTTTGTTTACTAACTGTATCGGTGAACGCTGTTGACAACCGAAGTTATTTTTGTACGAATTAACACTGAAAAGAGGTCTTAAAGGGTTAAAATTGCAGGTGACACTGGCCAGGAATACATTCATATATGAAGCTATGGGTCTACTTATATTATATTGTGTTCACAAGCCTATTTTCGAATATTTTAGACACGCCAGTAAATCCGCCTGTGGAAGACGGTGGACCGACGTTAGGCAAAAGAACGCGCACAACAACGCAACCTTTTCAGAGCGCCATGGTGGACCAAATTCAGCAGGTACTTTTTTTTCGGTTCAGTTACAGAAAACAAAAGTCATTGGGATGTATATTAGGCCGTTTTTTTAACTTCTAGCTTGTTTTTAAGGTTGAAGTGAGCTTTCATTCACAAATGTATGTCTGATTTAGTAGGCCAAGTTCAGCTTGCACTGAAATAGTCATGTATAAGAAAATCTATTTCTATCCGTAAAAAATTATTCCAAGGACTTATGGTACGTTTGTATGTTAAAAACACCAGATGCAGCTTCCATCAGTAACGAGAAACGTACTTTGTTATCATTACCACAGAAGACGTGTGACAATGGCTACGCGATGCGGGTACGAACACAATATATGTAGGTTGTACATGTTCTCGAAGAATGAGGACAATGTTCTCAAATGTAAAAACCTCCAAAGACCAAAAAGAAAACATTTTTTTACCGGTTTAATAATAATAGACTATAGATACAGTAATCGAGGTATACGTGACTTGTATGAAACGAAAAAAAAATGTGCCCGTTCACACAATTAACTCACATAATATATTTTAGACTATATCGTCATATATTTCTTTTTTTGGACTTGGGCGGAATTATGGAAGTAAATTTCTTGCATTCGGATAACAAACAAAAAAAACAGCACTTGTCTGGCAGTGACCATACGAATCCTTGAACATTAATTTATGTATTAGAAAAAGCTCCCATCAATAAAAGCAGGTAATCGGAATTAGCAAAGAAATAACTCGAAGAAAAGCATATTATATGGGCAGTCAGAAATCTTTTAGCTAAGGTTCTATCAGTAATGAAGTATAGCATATTCTAGTGAATCAGCAGGTCTTTGTCGTTTATGCATTGAACGCAGACGAAACGAACGCGAAGGGTCTAATTAGCTAAAATGGCATGAACGCTAGGTTTCAGATCAAGTCTAGAAATTGTTCTTAGTCACATATAGATGTTGGTAAATATATGGTTTTTTTTTAGTACCAAAATGCTCAGGTTGTGCTTTCCGGTGTAAACAGATCGAGACCAGATGGAAATCGTTGTCAATTTGAACTCTTACTAGCGCATTATAGGATGCAGTTGAGATATCTTCTTTTAGTTCGCACAAAATACGTAGTAAGCGGGGAGGTTGTTATTTGCTTGGATATATATGTTGTGTTCATCTTTGAGACATTTATTACATAATTGGAAGTTGGAGTGGCAGACGTATTTTGCACGCGTTTGTAATACAACAGCTCTTTCTGTGCGTATTTGAACAGGTGGTGGCTGTAAGCGCACGGGAGAAGCAACAGACAGCGATGGAAGACAAGGTAAGTAAGACCCTGCTCAAAAAGATTCCGGTGAACTAACGGGATAGTACCATGCGTAAAACTACTTTCAAGCTACTACTCTATCTAGAAAATAAAACTTTTACGCCTATACTTGGTCAGATTGCTCTGGATTAGCCGCAGCGGCCACAGAACGGGATTTTAAATTTTCAAATGCCTACGACAATTTATTTGTAGGTGGTATTGTATGACAAAGGCGAGTATTTAGCCGTGCGCAGCGATTCCCCTGAGGACTTCTTCCTGTGCAAAGCTCTCCAGAACGTTTACAGGTATGAGTTTGTGTCATGTTTAAATAATAAAGTTTGGCTGGAAGACGCTTAGGGTCTTAGCGTTTTGTAACTTTTCAGACAATCTGCCATGAGTTTGTGATGAATAGAGATGTGTTTTACAGTCCTAGTATTGTATCTGTTGTTCTTATCTTAGGTCATCCAAGCGAATACGGATCTTCTGGCTAAACAATGAGAGTCAAAAGTCGACGAGCTTATATCGACTAGACTTTCCTGACACCATCGAAAGGGAAACCATCCTGACCAACGTCCAAATGCGAAAGGCGGGAGCTTGCATGCAGCTGCTTGATAACGAGCGCAGGTAAAAATAATAATAATAAAACTGCAGATCTATTTTCTACACATGGCGATATATGAAGGTTAATTTAATTACGTTTTGTTGTTAGTTTATGCACATTTCGGTGGTCCCTTCATTAAGGGTTAAGCAACATTATTCTGTGGCCGTAATTGCTATTACAGACGAGCACTGAATATTCTTGAAAGAGCTATTCGGGTCGAGAAAGGTGAACTTCTCCCCGACCTCAAGGATCCAAGTACAACCAGTGAACTTGGTCTGGACGTGAGTCTAATTAAGGCCAATGAATCAAGTACGGATGACGAATCAGCACCTTTAGCTAATGCCAGACCAACAGCAAGAAGAAAGGCTCCAAACTCAGAGAGTAAAATCACACCATTGACTAAGGTCGCTACTGAGACCAAGCCTATAGCCAACCAGACAAAACAGTCCAGGGCTGCGGGTAGACCATCGAAGTCGGCTTCCCCCGACAAAGCGGCACTAAAGGCTACCCCGAAAAGTACAAAGACTTCCCCGGCAGCACCTGTCGCCCGTGAAGAGAAGACCCCTGATGGCAAGGCTTCCCTACCAAAAGTGTCTAAAGCTGAAGGAGCAGTTAAGGGGCATGGAAGCACTACGCAGGCTGCAGCAGGAAAGAAGCGTGGTCGTAAACCTGGAAAACGAACTCAGCGAACCCATTTTGGCGGTTGGGGCGGTGCGGGTCCGACCAGTGAATCAGACTTCGATGACACTTTTGAAGACGAACTTTTAACAAGTTACATTGAAATGTCTGCGGCAGCAGCGACAAAGCAAGCCAAAGAACGGGAACGCCCCCTTGAACCTGGTATGGTTTTTAGAAAAGGAGATTTCCTAGCTGTGCGTAACGATTTTTGTGGCTTCTATCTGTGCAAGGTACGTAACTGGTGTCATACTTTTAGATGGTATGGAATGACTTGTCTTGATGCCAACTCATTTTCAAATGCGACATATCAAATAGAATAGATTTAACGTTATTAGATTTATAGCTACAAAAGTTTGTAGGATTTGTTTTAAAACGCATCGTCTTTGTTTACGACTACCTTTACGCGGCTAGCTGAATCTGCATGATTCTCGTTGCAAGCTGCAAGAATACCAACAAATAATTTAAGTGACATTTTTATTATAGGCTCAATCAAATATCTATGTAACATCAGAAAATATCAAGATTCAGTGGCTGAACGCTGAAGCGGGCAATCCAAATGTGTACGTGCTCGACTATTCGGACACCATCCAGAAAGCCACGATTTTAACTAAGGTTAGTTAATGACGCATATCACGATATATATAACATAATCTCATTTTATTCCTAACCGTTTTGCCTCGGTTTCTCTATTAGAAAATCGGTACATCTACCAAACCTAGCTAAATTTTAACTGTAAGCATATACTCATCGTTTACTTTGGTGGTTGTCGTTCGTTGTTAGGTGGAAATGACTCGCAGAGGCCGAGGTCGACTTTCTCTGAGTGACGAGGAGCGACGGCGAGCCCAGGACCTCCTAAGCGAAGCCTTGAGACTCGAGCGTCAGCAGCAGAAGCTACAAGGAAAGCTCGGTTCGTCTGAAGACACCGACAATGAAACTGGAGACACCAAACCCCAAGAGGCGGAAGGACGACCAAGAAGGTTGCCGGCAACTAACACTGTAGCTTCAAAAGATGGCGCCCCATTGAATAGGACTAACAACAACAATGTCCCAGATACCGGTGTAGCAGGACAACAGGAGACTGAGGTCTCCGATGGAACCGTTGATGCCAAGGCGGAAACTCAACACAAACACGAAGGTCGCAAGAGAAAAAGTCACCGAGATAAGGTTCATCATACAATCTCCTTTAATTAGGATATATCTTTATCGTTTTTTAGGTTTTTAAGGTTTTTAACTAAAATAGCTTAACGCAACAGAATCTTTTTTTTTATATTTGATAGATAGAATGAAATCAGAGCAATTTATACTTTTCACTGCGACGTTAAGTATTATTTTCAAATGTAGGTCACATGTTGGCACAGATGTCCTTGTTTTAATATTTTGCTTCAGGAATCTACTGGTAGCGGTTGCAAAAGGGAACGTCGCGAGGGTGCTCTTGGCGCAGGCGGAGTTCGATTAACGATCAAACGGGCGAAGGTAAAAGCTTCATTATTAATTTGGGGTATATTTCTGCTTAAATATACACTCAATATGCTGTCTTTCACGCAACTAAGTGCGAGGGTGCGTCAGTAAGTTATGTTTAAATCAAGCGGCAGATCATAATATTGATCTATTTTGTTCAGGTTTTCTTCAAGTCTCCCTATCCAAGTTTAAAATTGTAGTGCATGTCATCAGGATCATCATCTCCACTCATATTCTTAATATGTCTATCACATTTTACAGGACCCAGCCAGTCATATTAGCGCCGTAGTAGCTCAGCATATAATAAATCCGAATATACCTGAAATGACCAAAGACCCCCTCTGGGATGGGCCGGAATCCCTGACGCCAGCAGAAGCCGAAGCTCTTGGAAGCCTTTGGTCGACGGACTGTCAAGGCCCGGTATCACCGTCGGCTGATTCTTCTACCCGCTTGGCCGGCGCAGTCCTTCGGGGAGACCACGTCACGTTAAAGAGTCTACTTGTAGCTCATTTAGGAAAAGTACACAATTCATTTGCTTGGCAAAGTGCTCATGTACGACGAACAGCTTTAGATCACGCCATACTAAAGGGGGACATTATCGCATTACGATTACTTCTACCGAAACAAGATGATCATGAATTGACCGTTAAGTCGCCGATCTGCTCATTCAGACGTGAAACGAACCTTCTTCGAGTGAACAAAGAGGGGGACACCAAAGGTGGTAACACGAAAGAAGATCGAAAAGAAAGCAAACGTGAGGGAAATGCTGCTCTCCTTAAGGATACCGAAGTTCCTCGACTTATTCGGGCACAGGCTATCGCCCATGCAAAACAACTTGCTTTACAGAGGTAATTGTAGCTTATTGTGTGTGATTATACTAATTTGTTAATTTTTCGGCCAAATTATAAACAAGTTTGAAAACATTTAAGGCTGCGCAACGTTCGTATTAAAGCAGAATGCGTCTGTCCGCAGATAGTAGTCTTTGCCGACTGTCTTTCCAGTAAATTAAGAAACAAGGTTGGTTCCTTGAGTACAGATTTCTGTAAATTATTTTTTTTTTTCGTATGACCAAAAAACTTCGAAAAGCCATATCACAGCATCTACATAGTATCACCGTATTACTCTGTTTGGACATCTAAAAAATGCCAGATACATTTAATCAACAGGCGAATTCATGAGTTCTTTATTTCACTATTCATTTTTTCAATTTAGTATCTAATTTGTGAATTCGATTCATATTAACATTTTTTAATTGGTTGCATTTTTCAATGTATAGAGGCGTGCCAGTCGATGTTTTGGAGGAACTACTTTTATACGAATCGCCAGGTGGGCTTTGCGAAAACGACGCCCTTGAGGCGCTGGAAAACGGAAATAGTGAATTAGCTGTTGCTATTGTCTCGCGCCTTCAGCTGCCATCAGCTAGCACTGAAACCCCGACGAATTTGCCAACGATAGTATCACCCTTGATCGGGCGACTATTAGGAATCGCCGTGCCCAACGGTGCCCGTCAAACATCGATCGACTACTCAACTAACGGCAGCAGTGTTTCTGATACTTTGAGACTGAGTGACCTCCTCGAGACACCTCTTGGTCCGCACGGCGCATCGGCGTTCCAACTGTTAATGGCAGGTGGTCGAGCATGTCTTGTAGCCATCTGCGATTTATTGTACGGGCCACGGTCGAAAGCAGCTGAGAAAGTAATTCGGGAAGCAATGGCACAACGGGATGCCCGAGGTCGACTGCCTGCTCATTATGCTGCGGCGGCACGAAACTCTGCATCGTTAGAATGGCTTATCAGCCGAGGAGCGAATGTCACCGAGGTGGATTATGACGGTACGTTCACGGCCGTATAGTATGATTGGCTATGACGATAAGCGAGACGAACACGTACATTTGAAAAATAATGACAGTGAAAAAGTGTTGTTTATGAAGTGGCTCTCCTGTGTTCCATATGATGGTTACAGGTAACAGCCCTCTGCACGTGGCTGCCGTGCTGGGACGCGTTGAGTGTCTGCAATTGTTAATATCTCTCCGACTGCGGGAAGGTTCATCGCATTCACATCTGGATGACACTAATCGAAGGGGCCAAAGTGCCCTGCATGCAGCCATCGAAGCCGAACAGATAGCCAGTATACAGCGTCTTTTAAGTATGACAGTGTTTCTTCCATTTACAAAGTTCAATATTGATTTCTGCAGCAAAAAAGGCCGAGTAGTTTTTTTTTCTTTGTTACGATATAATGTTATCTTCTGCTGACATTAAAAATACAAAACAGAACAAATAAATGGTATTACGCGAAATCCAGACTGAAACAGGTAAGTTTGATATTTCTCAAATTTCGAGCGAAGAAATTTGAAGCAAATCTATTAACTATTTGAAATGGCAACTGCTCTCGTTATAGCGTTCGGGGCGGATGCCAACAAACCTCTTGGCTCCCACTCCGATAAAGTAACGCCGCTGATGCTGGCAGCCCAACGTGGACACAGGCTCGAAATGCTCAGGGCGGTCCTTGAGAGAACGGACGGTATCGATGTTCAGGTTTGCACCTTTCATGTTCTTGTTTACAATATTACGCGCTTATTATCATTGATATTCAAGTTTTGCATCTTGTGCTGTCATTAAGCATTACTTCAGATGGCTAATGTTTTCCAGCGCAAAAAAATATCTGTCTGCGCTCAGTTTTCTTACCTCAAATGCATTACGTTTAATAGGCAAAAGTGTTTTTGTTACCCTGTCTCGGCAACATTGTTTTATACTTAGAGAATACCCTTGAACACCCACGTCTGTCGAATTTTAGCCTAAAAGCCTACATCAAAAGAATCCGAAGTGTAAATCGTTTGTGTTTGCACAATGTAAAGCTATACACCACTGTTTTTCTTATATATTATTAATTACAACAGGATAAACGGGGGCGATCAGCTCTCGTACATGCGGCTATGAACGGACACAGCGCTGCTGCGTGCTTCCTGCTGCGAAGAGGGGCCAACGCAGCCTTGACAGACGGCAGTGGCAATTCGGCGCTGCATTACGCAGCGGCTTATGGGCATCTTCATGTTGTCAAACTACTGGTTGAGCTGGCCAACCTAAGTCCGGCCCAAGTGAACGACGCCAAGATGTGTTCGTTAGAGGTGGCCTTTCGAAAAGGGCACATCGGTATTGTCAGGTAATTTAGCCTACCCATGAGTATAACAGTAGTTTGCTATGGCGGTTGGCACCAATCGTATAACGCGAAGTGAGGTGAAAGTCACGTGATGGTTCGATGATAGGCTTTGATTGTTTGAGGACGTTAATTTCTCTCTCGTATTTTTTTTCTTTCATTTTTATTGCATACATTTCCCTAATACTTCAACACATCTAGACCGAGCACTCTAAAGCTGTCAAAGAACCCCTAGGTGGTCTTCGCTGCTTCCGGAGTATTAAATTCTTACTGATACGTTCGGATGTTTTACACCTTCTCCATGTATTATATACTTGTAGCTTCACAGGGTAAGATGGCAATCCTTGTATTGTTCAATCTCGTACATCTTCGTGCTTGCTAATTACTACGATCTACGACCTCTCATTTTCTCTTCTAGGTACATGCTGGACTTAGGTTGCTTTGCTCGTGGGCTGGGAGGTGGGGGTGGTTTGGCCGAACGTCTATTAAGTGCCTGCGTCACTCTACCAGACTTACTCGAACCGACGATGGTAGATCGATTCGAGATGCTGCTTCGATCTATCCCATCGCTCACGACTAAACCACTGGATAAAGCTAATAACAACAACCTTCTTCATTTACTCGTCCTTATGCAACGTCGCGTTATAACTCAACAGGTCAACCGTACAGAATCGGTTGTGAGGGAGCACCGCCTATGTTTGTCTCAGGTTATGGATCTGATACTCAATTCCGATCTGGATTTAGCAAAGAAAGCAGTAGCAGCGACGAATACCGAAGGTGAGACACCCGTATCCTTGGCGCTTAGCTATGGATGTTTGGAAATCGCAGCTCGACTTGGTCGCTCGGCACCCGCAATGCTCAAAGCTGCCCTCAAAAACGAGTGCGCCCTTCGAAGGATAGCGATGCACTGTGCAACGTTCGATATCAGCACCGAGCTGTTAGTAGGCCTCGAAGACGAGGACATTGGGGAACTTCGGACGCTTGCGCAGACCCTCGCAGCTCAGAAGGGCGTCAACTTGCTATGCGTTGCGGTCACGACCATTGATGCAGCGATTGAGGATTGCGGCGGGGACGATGAACCCGAAGCCGCACTTCGAGTTTTCAACGCTTGCCATTTCTTGCGGTGGTTGCTCTGTCATCTCGGTATGGAAGCGACGGGTCCAGTGTTGCACGCCGCCGTTCGATGCCGATCACCTCAGCCGCTGCAAACAATTCTCGAGTCCTCAAAGTCAGTTCCATCACTTCATGCTAACATCGAACATCGCCAACAGGGATTGACACCGCTACAGGTTTGTTTGTTTCTATGTCTGTATATGCGTGATGTTATCGCAATGTTGCCTGCGTACTTGTTATTATGTGGTGTAATTAGGTTACGGCATTCAGGTTTCAAGAGTTCAGTTTTTTCGTAAAATTAAAGTGTTAAATAAATAAACAAAAAAAAACATACAATTACCACAACCAACCATCATACGTAAATAAATGTAATCAAGATGTTGTTTCCGCGAATTATAGGAGGCGGTCTTGCAAGGAAAGACCCGAGCCGCACTCCTCCTCGTGGCGCACGGAGCTCGCACTGACCTTATGATGCCCCCGTGTGTCGTTCAGCAAACAGCAGATGAGGGTTCACAATCTGCGTTGCCCCTTTTGCTATTCTGCTGTCTACCTGGCCAAGTGCAAGATAAAGCGTTTCAAGGAGAACTAATCAGGAAGATTGCCGAGCAGAAAACACGAGATTTGACAGCAATCCATCCCGTATCAGGCGACTGCGCTCTACATTACGTTGTGCAGGTAACACGTTAGGTATGATGCAAAAATTGATAATAAATAGTGAATGTATCATCGTCAAGCCATGTACTACTAGGCACGCGTTTTGTCATAAGCGATGCGCCCTTTTTGGCTTCTAAAGTATTACACCTGTTCATAAGCCCCTATCATGCTATCGCAATTACTTGATTGTAATCACGCCTTAGCAAGTGCTCAAAGAGTTCTCCAGAGCAGGAAGTTGTGAAGCACTTCAATATGTGACTGTTTGAATTATGTCGTTATCGAATAATTGGTCCGTTGTTGGATTGAGCTACTAGCCCGACATTTCATTTTTCATCTCGGCTACACACATACAGTTCTTCAAACAATGACTTTTAATTACCACCTGAAAAATTTCAGAAACGTCACTGGGACCCGGATGATCTCTGCCGGACAGTTGATACCCTATTACGCTGTGGACTGGCTGCCCTGGCGACTAACGTTTTGAAGCAGACGCCATTACATTTAGCGGCAGCCAGTAATACTACAGGAGACTCGCGAATTGAAACAGCACTTGTGAACGCTGGCGCTGCTATTGATGTTCTAGATATGGAGAGGAGATTACCGCTACATTACCTTTTTTTGGGTCCAGCTGGTCGCAAAGATCCTATTGAGCTTTGCCGTTTACTCGTGCCATCAAAGACTTCACGTCACATCGATGCCACAGATGCGCCGGAAAACGCCACCGCATTACATTACGCTGCCCAGGCGGGTGCTGCCCTTTGTTGCCGATTTTTGCTACTACGAAATGCCAATATCGAACTCCGCAACAAGCAGGTGACTGAGCTTTATCATTATTGTCATTGCTCGTAGTCTGGTCAGTGATTGCAATCAAGTAAACAAGAAGAACAAAGTGATATAAAATGAATTGTTTACCTTCTAGCGCGAAGTCAGGAACACACATTGTTACAATAATCAACTTTTTCAATCAATTATTTTTTTTAGGGAAATAGCGCACCAGGCTTGGCAGTACTACGACGTCATGCGGGAGCGACTTTAGCCCTAATTGAAAAGGGCCACTGGTACTCTGACGAGGTACGAATTTACATATCGATACGATGTCGGATGTCCGATAAAGTTGAATATTACTTAGGTAAATGCCCTGTACTAACATACCTATTTATTATTTAATTTGCACCGTCCAAACAATCAGAGACACAGAAAGGATAACGGACGTATTAACCCTATTTGCAAAGTTGTTCCTTTCGTAAAAAGGGAATCTGCGTGTAACGATATTTTAGCAAAAGGCGGCTGCCTACTCGTTACCAAACAAAAGCGGCGCTTCCCATACATCTACTTTCTTATCCAGCCTCGTAAGGTGTCCGAGTGCCTATGTAGGTCTGCCCTAGAACATGTATTATCTCTGTAACTGATGTTCAGACAATGTATCAACGTTTTTTTATCGAATCTTGCAGATCCTTCTTGAGCCTAATCAGACCTGCTCTCCATCAGCTGAGAGATTAGTTTGGCGGTACGTTTGCCCAAAGAAGGTGTTGCCCCAGAGAAAATCGTTGTTGCAATGTGTATTTGAGATAGCCAAAAGTTTTCGCGATTCCAAAGTGAGAACAGCAGGGGATGCAAACAATAAATGCACTGCGACGAGGACCAATGGACAAAATGGAGAAGATCGGGGTACAGGTCTTGCTCCTATTAAGGCCAGATACGAAGTGGATAACGCCAGTGCTGCAGCAGTGATTGCAAATTCTGCAACCAATCCTGCGACTTCTGTGTCATTGTCAACTTCGGCAGGAAGTGGTAGTTCTGGGGAAGATTCTCTCGAAGTTGTGTGGGGGTCGTTGATTTCAGGAATTCTTATTGAACAGTTGGAACATAAAAGTCATCCAATGACGCTGGCTGTTGACGCCGCTGTTCGAGCTCAAGATTATCCACGAGCCCTTAAATTATTGGGAAGGTAAGTGTTGGAGCCTAATAGATTTCCTATTTTCCTACCTCTAGGCGAATAAAAGAGTCAATTTTTTTTGTCTTTTTTGTACAATTTCATACATCGCAAAGTATATATTTTACATTTGAATAAGATTGGAATTAGATTTTTTAAATACACTCAATCAATGATTTCAACTGCTAAGTAACTTGTTTCGTCATTGCGTCATTTCATTGTCTAGAGTGAAACACGGGTGGACGCTGACGTCCCAGAAGCAGACTGTTTTGCATCTATTGGCCCAACAACCCTATGGCGAAGGTCAACTTCAGCTGGCCCAAGCGCTACTCGATCGTGACGTGATTCTACAGCAAACTGACGAGCATGGCTGTACTGCGCTCACCTATGCAAATATTAACTGGAATCACAGGTGCGTTTAACAACAAAAAGCCGTAACGAACTTTAGACTGCACACAGATTGCTCGAGAAGTTAAGCAATTGGGTGACAGAATAATTATTCACATATTGTTTTAACAATACAGGAACCTTTACAGGATACAGGAGCAATTTATTACCTGCTTATTACCTATTACTTCACTTAGAAATAGACATAGGTTTTGAGTATATTGGTGTTGCGCTAGAATAATAGAAGGCTTTAACTGAACCGCATAGTTTGTTCTTAGCTTAAACGTGTAATTTGGTTTTTTTTTATATCTGCGGTAGGCTGGCGGAGTTCCTCGTGGCGAAAATGGGCATTCAGGCAGTTGCAGACCTTTCTGCTGATCTCTCAATTCGAACACCGCTATCAGCAATCTTCTGGAACCTTGAACGACAGCCACTCCCCCCCGAAATGGCTCAATTAGCTCTTAGACTAATCAGGTTAAAAATGATATCTGAGATACAATTTATAACTAACTAATCAGTATGAAGATAACTAATGTAACTAATGAGTGATAGAGCTAGAATATGAAGAGAATCTCTCTTTGAATTGGTATTCACTATATTATAACGAGTTAGCCAGTATCGTCTTTGGAAATGGTGTCATGATCTTCACTAAAGAATTTTACAAAGGATTTCCTCTTAGGTTGTATTTTGGAGTATATAGCATCTATGCGATAAAGAGAATATTTGTATAATCACTACTGCTCGTTTGTGAGAGGCATGGGTTAAAATCGTGACCTAATTAGCTGTAGTCATGATAACTTCTATCTGAAAAAATCGTCTCAATTTCACGTTTCAATGAAGAGCCGGAGCGAAAATCGATGTGCTTAGCCGATACCCAATACGTAATCTCGAGTTTCCCGGTACAGTCTGTGTATCAGAAAGTCTCCTGCATGTAGAAAATCCTATGGCGTGCCGCATCTCACCTTTAATACTTGCTGTTTGTAAAAAGAACTACGCCACTGCTGGATTTCTTCTCAGGTAGGCCAATTTGATTGATCCTATTTTAAATTCCAGTGGTAGCAAATACGGAAACATACAGCCTGCTACTTGAATATTCATTTAGATCTAATATTCCAATGGTTAACGTTCAAAGAAATATTATTTGTGATCTATTTTGATATTCAGTATGTACCATCTGCCTAAGCAATCGCTACCTAAACGCAACTGACCGTTATGGTGTTTGCTTTTTTGACTGCTTGTGCTCCTCGTTGTCTTTGTATCGCAGAGAAGGGGGGGCCGATCCTAACTTCAATGACGGCCAAAAGCGCACGCCATTAATGTATGCCATTAAACTGAACGATATCGCAATGGCTAAACTTCTTCTAAACTACAAAAGCATCGATGAGGGCTTGAAAGGCCAACACCTCGTGGCCACTAAAAACCCTCAGACTTTTTCGGATTCGAACAACGTGAAAATTCAACAGCGCACAGAAATGACAGCAATTAAACAAGAAAAAAAAACAGAATCAACCGAAGACCACGATGACCAGAAACTGACCAAAAAACCCTCTTCTTTAGCAGGAACTGAAGGTGAAGGTTTTGTGATGACGTCACAAATTAACCTTGCTCACCAGGTAAGCAGCTCGCAACGTCGCTGGGCTTGTGTGCAAGCTATATCTGCTGAGCATGAAAAAAATTGACGAAAAGAAAGTAACATCAGTGCTTGATTTATAACTAATAGCTAAAGGCATTCGAAGACGAGGAGCTATTTGTTGTTCGAAACCTTTAGTATAGTGACTGTGGTTATCCAACTGAAGCACCGAGCGTCTTTAGAGGACTTTTAAAAGCATCTTTTGAGACTTTAATCCATTAAAGTTCGATACTTGTATATCTGCTGAAGGCAAATAAGTTAGGTCTGTGTTTATTCAGATATGTTGTCCATGCTAAACCGAGATAAATACGATATAGTATGATGGAATGTTTTTTAGATGGATTCGAACCCTTTACTATAGGACGCAGTTCGATGTTATATATGAAGGAGTTAAGACTAATTTTGAGTCTTATCTAGAATGCGTCATTATGTTCACGCAAATTTGCTCTACTACACGTAGTATTTATAAGCCATTGTTTTTCTTCCAATATAGGACTTTTTCGGGTGGACGGTTATACATCATGCGGTAGCTCCTCTTCCCGATGTGACGTATGTGTGCACAGATATGGTCCGATTACTTGCACACGTTGGAGCACCTCTGGGAGCTCCCGTCGACACTCAAAACACCCAAAAGACGTTCCCTCTTCATCTCAGGTAATAAACGTTTCCACAAACAGTTGTTGATGATACGTTCATATAATGCGTCGGTGAAAATCTGTTAGGAATATGGTAGCTAGACAACATCGTGAAGGTGTTCTTGATGGCTCGTCTTTTACTGGAGGTTCCATCATGAAAAATCATGACGAGTACATGAAGAGTGTGTCTACTTGTTGCCTGGATTTCAGTGCGGGGCGAGGCGTCGAGAGCATAACCGTCGTTCTTCAAGAACTTTTAGGAAGTAACGGCAAGGTTACAGAGCCCCCAACTAAAATAAGTAAGTACGGGAACGTTTTAGTGAATTTTATAAATTGTGGCAAGATTCATTTGTGGTTGACAACAGAAATGAAAAAAACGTTTGGTTTATGCCAGCTGCAGTTTATCAGCAGAACTATAGAAGCATTTCTGCCGTAGGTATATTGGTGTTTTGGGGGAATCTAACCATATGCGCCATCTCTTCATCTATAAAAGTGTTTCGCGAGCCAGCTGCAATTGCCGATGACGGATTATTGGATTCATTACCAGTTCGGGATTTCCGAAAAGATGCGAAGTCACAGAGAATACGTGCCAACGGCCTGGAACAGCTAGGAGCTAATGGAGTGGGGGGCCTAGGTGGATTAGACAGCACGGGCAGAGTGGATCCGCTGGCGCCATTAGACCCTCACGAATGGGAAGTGATGAGAGACTCGGCAACTCCGGGTCAACTACAACCAGCCTATGATGTACTTTTAACAAAACTCGACTCTCACCCTTTGGTAGGTTTTGGTGCTCTGGTCAATATTACTTTTTGTCCAACCGTCATCAGTCCCAAAAATATCTCGCAACAATTTCCTCTTAAATAATATTTTTTTGTTAATGATAAACGCCTTTCTTAGCATTTGAACAACATGTATACACGTGGGTTGATTTACTAGTAATTACCACAAGACCATGACATCAGTCATCAATAGGAACGATCAAAACATTTGTCTGGAGTCACACAACAATATTTCGTAACTCGCTGCGTTGTTTATTATTGTGTGTTTACTTGTTGTCCAGGTGTACTCCTTCTGTAAATTGCAAGTGGCAGCCTCGCTGGATTGTACACGCTTTACTTTAATCGAGAGGTCAGGTCGCGTGGGCGATTCTGGTGTGGCGCAGGTGACGCCAATGGGCGGTAGCCGAGTTGATGCAGCCCGTGAATTTTGTCGTCGTTTCCGTGAGCGTACCGGCGCAAACTTTGAAGAAGCCCATACACTTCGTCCAATACCCGGTAAATTCCGTCCGGTCTTACTGCGAAGCCGAGAGTCCGGCGACAATAAACAGGAGTTTCGAGAAGGGGGCGATCGTCTTGACATTGACGGAAGAACCGGCATTCTCGATGCAGTCACCAAAGCTCTACCGAGCAAGCTTGCCACACCTCTTCAGGCCCTACTCAAAAGCATCATTAAAGTATGAAGTATTATTGACCTAATAAGCGTTTATTAAACCTTTGTATACATATATAGGAAATTACAAAATATAACTGTTTTGTATCAGAAACCAATATAACTTCAAAGCAGCTGAAAAAATATGTCTTAAAAACAGAATGAATTAAGTATTTTTGCTCCTGTTATCTGCACCCATTTTGTGATCGGCAATATCAGGGCTGTGAAATGGCACCGGGAGTACCTTGCTCTGAGGACGGACTCAAGGAAGCGCTGTCCTTGCTAGAAGAAATGCGCCAGCTCGCCGCTGAGAGACGGCAGCTTGAAGCCACAGCTGAAAATGCCGCAGTTGAAAAGGATGGGGTCGGAGCTACCAATGGCCAACATTTAGCAGAACTTCTGCTCCGTTTGGCTGAAAGAAGTCATCAGCTACATGCCCTCTTGCCACCTCCAACGCCGAGCCAGCACCGAAGTGGGACTAGTGGAAGAAATGGAAGCCGACGAAAGAGCACTAGCTGCGGTGGAGCTGTTGCTTTGGCTAATTGGACAAGAGCTTCGCCTGAACAGCTTGAACCTCTTTGGACCGAAGAACAGGTAAACAATCAATGGATCCGTTGGTTTTACTGCGTTTTAAAAAACAGGACATTTTTGCTTTAAAATCAAACGAAACTGCTTTCAGCAGTGCCAATATTAAATTCTTGCTAATTATTCGCATTCAACAGGAGCTTCCACTATATCATATATTTGTTATATAATAATATGTATCTGAACTTGCAGATTGATGAACAAATCGCCCGTGTGCAGGTTCTCCTCGATCTGCAGCTCTCTCGGCAAATGTTGCGGGGGGCCGTATTTGCAGTGGCTGAGGTTCATCCACTCGAATATGTATACAAAGCCACACAATGCCGTCTTCAACAACTTCAAGTTGATTCAACTGAAACGCAAACAATTTTACAATATATCCACAACTCACTCAGTTAGTACATACCATATCAGGCTATGTACCATCTTAAATATTAGGCATCGTTCGTTCTCACATTTTTAGGTCAGACTACATAGTGTATTCGTTGTGTTATATAGTGATATTTATATTTTTCTCGAATCTGTAACCTCAGCAAAGTAAAGGATTCTTTCCAATTTCATAGGGTGAATTTCCTTTACAAGCTGTATTTGTGTGACGCATAATTCACGATGAGGCGTCATCCATGTCTTCGTATTTCTTCGAATACATGATTTGCATTTTGTCTTATTTGTCTTCCTTAATTTGTTCTTTTTTTTATTGATAAATTAGTTCGTTGGCGACCCTCCGGAGATTCGTCGAAATCCTCTCCGCCTCCCTCGTTTGGGCCATCGTCGGCCGCATTTATACGGGGGCCGTTCACGGTGACTGGTGTCTATCGCGTTTCACGAGCAGAGGAAGAAAAACAGGCTAGTGTATATGTTTTTCAGATCTCTCTCCCTCTCTCTCATATATATATATATATATATATATATATATAAATAAAAGTGAACATTGTTGTTTTAAAATCAAACTGTGATTTCAGCCGTCAGTTTTGAATTCTTGCTAATTATTATCATTAAATAGGGACTTCTAAATACTTTCACTAAATCATACATATTTAATATATATTCAAACTTGCACACAATCGTCGACGATAAACTATTGCAATAACATTATAATAAATAATATATAATATATAAGAAACAAAATCTTCAATTTTTCATTTCGGTAACATTTTTCCTGTTTGTTCCGCAGATTGTAAGCGAAAGTGCCAGTGGTCTTCCGTCTGGAGTCCGCAACCATTGGCTGTTGTGGAAACCGGTGGGTGCAGGAGGCCTTTTGGCAGCACTTTATAGGGGATTGCAAGCTACCCCCCTCACAGGCGCTTGGAGGGAGTGGCCACAACACTCTCGCGGAATTACATTCTACGACAGGTAATTATTGTGAAAGGAGCTTTCCTATGATAATACATTCACTAGAGGTTGTTTAATCAGAAAGCATAGCTTCAATCGTTATGTACAGCTAAAAGCATAAATTTTGCATGACTGCCAAAGGGTTGTCAAAAATCAGTAAATGTCTCGTCTACTCCTGCACTAGATAAACATTGCTTTAGATGGCTCGTTATTTCTGACAGAAAGGTCTGTCTACGGTTGGTTTCGAATCAAAATTATCGCGTGTGCAAGATAGTATCTGAGGCTTCTTATCTGTTGTATTTTCAGGTTTGGACAGGGTCTTGCTTTTGCCGAGTCCAATCCAGGCGGCGCGCGCTTTGCCCTTCTTTGCCAGGTACACCCGGTGACAATTGTTGATAATTAAGGATTTAAACTGTGCCGCATATCTTAACATTTCTTTAGATGAATGGACGTTATGCAGATTCTTGCGGAATTCGCTTTCTTGCTTGCTTTGTTAAGATCCGTCTGTTGAGTTAATTAGAGTTTAAGTTAGTTGTGTTAGAGTCTGTAGTTAGGCCATCATCTATACTTTGCTGTGATAATCCACAAATATAGACACTACGCGTTGAAGACTCTTCTTTTCGAGCCTGAATTTTATTATCCAATGTTCAATGCTAGTAGTTATACTCAAAGCGTACAAACAACAACAAAAAAGTATAAACGATTGCATTCAAACGCAAATAATTCCGCAATGCAAGACATCTTTTTTCCCGTTACAGGTGGCATTGGGAGAATGCGTCGAACTACCGTCCGGTGGAGGTCGCGGACCCTCGGGGAGCCATAGTGCTCGGTTGCCTGGTCGATGGACCCCTGACCCCCGAGCCCACATATCGTGGCAGAGTTGGACTGTACCTTTGGGTGAAACCACACTTACTCAGGTTGCGCCCACAAGTGCTGGTTGTCACTCGAATTCGGCTCACCTAGCCCGCGAGGTTAACGAATTTGTGGTATATAAACCGCAACAGGTTTGCATGAGATATCTTGTCGAATATCATTAAGCAGCAAATAGTCCTAGCCGTAAGCGAAATCGGTAGCCTACCAGTCGATGTAAATTGACCGCAACAGCAACAATGAACCCCACAGCTGGCGGCTATGAACATAGGGTGTATAGCAACTTGTAAGAATCCGTTTGGATATCAATCATCAACGTCAAAACAATCGCTGACATTAATGAACAGCACAAGAAAGCAATCATTCGTCAAAACCTACAAAGTACCTCTTCTTCGAAGTACGGATTGCCCATACAGGCAGGGTAGAGAAGTATAATTTAAGTTGTAAATGAACCTAAATCGAAGGGATGTTTAATCTAGTGCTGCACTAATAGTCGTCCAATCAAGGGTAGTTAGCATGAGCCGAGATCTAAAAATATTTGTAGATTCTTTGGAATCTCATGCCAGTGATGAGGCGACAGACAGAACTGCTCCTGAATTCTCTGCAGGTTTGTACTACAATACAAGCCGAGAGAGGGCGCTATAATCGCAATCCTAATAATGGCCCCCCAGTCTTAAAAGCTGAAAGCATTACTGAATCGTGGGCAAAAGAAACCTACAAGTTATCCATCAGCGTATACGGTCGTTAAAGCTACCGAAGGTTCGGTACAGTAATGTTTCGCTCGAAGAGGCAAAAAACTAATGGTGTCAACTTTGTACATTCGTTAAGTTCTACTGTTTTCCTACGAATATTGTAATACCGCCGATTTTAGTACCCAGTTAGTTCTGCCTTCGACACAGATCAAGCATGCCTGCTTGAGTAGTATCAATCTGTCACCGTCAAGGAGCCTCCATTAGGATTAATTTACCTGAGCACATAGTTCGCCACATTTTATGACTTCTGTGTGGATATAATTGACCACAAATTTTATAAACGTCATCTACATACACATTGGATAGAGTGATATAGTTAGTGAAGGACTAAAAATTGATGTTATATCATCAGTTCATTAACAAAAGGAGAAATAATAGCCATTAGCCCTATTAGAAGACTAGTAGCACACATAGAGACAATTTTCCTAGTCTCTATTAAACTCCCCGCTGGGTTTTTGACAAAAAGAAACGCACATTTATGCGCGCAACATGTGTTTTGTTTTTTGCGTCTGTCAAGAAAGTAGGTCGCATTTAGCATTTCTGGACGTTTATTTTTAAATCATTTATCTGTCCTATTGCGAATATGAGTTAACTATGGGTAATCTCTTACATGTGTAAAACTTGGAAGTGAAGTGACGTAATACAAATGAGGAAAGTGTTCAAAGAACTTAAGCCAATAGTGCGATTGCCACGACAAAATTGTGAAAAACATAGCTTGGTATTGCAGCTTCTCCTGATTAAAAGTGGAATGCGTGTGTGTGTGTGTATATATATACAGAAGATATACAAACATACATCTATACAAGTATATATATATATATACATATTCAGAGCATTGATATATTATACAATGGTAAAAAAGGTACATATATGAAAAGTGTATCAACT